TGGGGTGAGGGGAAGTAAAGGAAGGAATCAAGTATGATTCCCAGCTCTTAAACTTGAATACTTGAATAACTGTTGAATGGTTGTATTGTTAGGATATTTGTGATGCCCATGAGACACCCAGTGGACAATCTATCAGACAGCTATTTGGAGAGATTCAACAAGCATCACACAATACATTCTCATTAGCTTTAGTCCTTAGATAAACAATGAAGCTGTTCTACCCTTTTAAAGAACGCAAATCTTGACACAAAGGGTACCTTAAAGAAGATCGTCATGTTGCATGTGACTTTCAGAGGCCTTTGAGAATTGCCTTACTGATTTAGAATTTAGAGGAATAAAACTTGTGTGTTTTAAGAGACAAAGTGAAAATAAAATAGGTTGGAACTTTAAAACAGCGAACATTAAACTCAATTTTTGTATCAAAAATTCTAATACTAGAGACATTTCTATGACTTGTCTGAAAAGGCACAAATAATTCTTGAATTTACCCATTTTTAATAAGATTTGCATTGTATTAGATACTGGTCTATAAAGTCCAGTAAGATAATCCAGTGTCTGTCTTCAGTTTTATAGTCTAGTGGGTGAGATAAACAATTACTGAAAATACCTACCACAAGTGGTAATAGAGCAGTCTGTTACTGACGTACTCGCTGCTGGAGGCTGAGTAGTGGTTAAGAAGGGGCAGCAACAGTTCAAGTAAGGCTTCAGAAAGGAAATAACACTTTAGCTAGAGTCCTACTATTGATGCATTAACAGGAGTAAAAATTGTGAGACTCTTATGTGTAAAGGGTTGAAGGGGTGGTGGTGGTGGTGATTCTGTATGGCCGAAGCATTGAATTCTGAGTGTTTTTAAAAAAAGAAGCTAGGAGATTAAACAGGAAACATTTAGAATATGCTATATTTAAACTAAGGAATTGTTAGTTTATCTTGGAGTTTATCATTGGAAGATTTTTAATTGTGGGACTAAAATTAAAATGACCATACTTGTCTTTTAGAACAGAAACTCTGAGATATGAATGAAATTATTTAAGGAATTTGCGATTTGTTTTCAAGGCTTTTAAAGGTAGAATTAATTTGAAGTGTCTTTTTTAATGTATTTTTTTATTTTTCAATTAGTTTATATTCAGTTTTGTACTATATTAGTTTGAGATGTACAACAAAATGGTTGGAAAATCATGTATTGGGTTGGCCAAAGAGTTCTTTTTTTTTTTTTTTTCATAAGATGACTGAGATAGCACTTAGTTGTTTATAACTTCATTCAGAACAATTTCGTTAGATTGTATTGTGACAGCCATCATATCAGTGTGCATTTAAAAAACCCCTATCAAAAGTGGTGAATTTTTGTGTTGTTATTTTAATACTGAAGGTGGAGGAAAATAGGCATGTTACATTTTATTGTTCCAAGAAGAGTAAAGACACAACTGAAACACACACTCACTCACTTACTCACTCACTCACTCCCTCGTGCCATGGATGGAGAAGGTACTGAGACTAACTGATCAAAGGTGTTAAAAATGGTTTACGAAGTTTTGTGCTGGGTATTTCTCACTGGACAATGCTCCACGGTCGAAGAGACCAGTTGAAGTTAATAGCAATAAAATAGAGACAGTAATTGAGACACTGGTATAGCATGCAGGAGATAGCTGACATAATCAAAATATCCAAATCAATAAAGTTAGTGGTAAAATATGAATAATGTGTCCTTTATTTTACGGAAAAAACTAAATGGACTTTTTGGCCGGCCCAGTGGTTTATAAAGTGGTCCTTCCCGCTGCTTTCAAGTACCCACCTGGTGCCATGCATAGTTATCACGATATTATTCATTATATTCCCTATGCTGTAATCTACATCTCTGTGACTGTTCTTTAACTACCAATTTGTACTTCTTAATCCCTTCAATTTTTTACCCAGTCCCCCAACTTCCCTCTCCTCTGACAACTGTCAGTCTGTTTTTACTTTATTTATTTTGTCGTTTAGATTCCACATATTCATGCTAAGTGAATTAAGTCAGAGAAAGAAAATGTCTTTCTTAAAGGCTTGTTTGGTTTTTACGTTTGCTTAATTTTTTAAAAATCATTCGTGATAAAGGGTGTGGTAAGTATAAGCATATGTGAATATATCATTTAGCTATATTTTTGCCCAGTTAGGACGATAAATGATTCAAAGTACTTTCTTGCTCTAGGGTTATATTGAAAAATTATGTATAACTTAATAAATGAATTATTTTATTAATGTTTAGTTCAGTACTAATCTTACACAGTCTGTCCCATAGCACTAACCACATGAATACTGTCCTTTAGTGTACTATGGCATGTCCCTCAATTTATTTACTAGTTACGGCTTCACTACAGACCATGGAAAATTGTGGTTGTGAAGTTAAAATGAAATTACATGTGAAGATACTTTCCATTTCATATAGTTAAATGAACTTTGGTGCTACCCTCTGCTTCAGCTACTATTTAGACATAAATTTTGATGTATTAAAAGAACCAAACCTTCTTTTGTTTAGGTTAGTATTAAAATCTTCTGAGATTAATTTATTTAACATATAAGCATTTACTGGCAGTATGCTCCAGGGTACAGGGCATTATAAATATTAATCTGACAGTAATATTGTAATCACAGAGTTTGGAGTTTAGCAAGGGAAGAAAGACATAGTCTCTTTATATTTTCATTATAAATACACAGAAGGATATGGTGTTTTAAGAGTACGGTATAAAGTCTAAAATGAACGCAAGAGAAAGCTTAGTTTTGTATCAGTGGGATAAGAAACTCAATAGAAGCTAAGACATTAAAAGGAAAAAAATGGTAAGATTTGGGGGTATGTAAGTAGAATGACCTCTAAGAAGCAAAAAAAAAAAAAAAAAAGGGCATACAGAAAGATAATTATCATGGGGAAATTTTAAAGTGGAGTTTTGAAAGCACCTTTTTATGGTGTTTGTTTTACTTACATGTTGCTGATGTCAGTGCTACCAGGTTCATGTCATATTATATTATAGTGATGTTCTAAGAGATTTAGAAAAGAGTATTGGTTCTTCTATTTACCATGCCTCCCAGTTTATGTAAAGTCTAATCTCAAAACCTTTTAATTATTCTATTTAAAAATCTTTTTGTTTATAGCTGGTGCACTTTTTTCCCCCAGCACTTGCTGCTGAACCCCGATCTTCTCCTTGTCCCTTATTTTGTTACTTGTTTATTAAGTTTTCCTTCTTTATCGTTAATTCATCCTCCGCTTCCTGAGAGAAACCCCTAGTCATTTATTCAAAATTATTTGATGCTGCTGCACTGTTCATAAATTACAGAGGAACCTAAACGTTGTTGAAAGTCAACCTTCTTTCCTTCATGCAACTGATCACAACACTCCTTCCTCTTGAACCTGTACCTTATTACTAGTGGTGCTGAAAGTGTGTTTTTCAGACAGAAACAACAGTATATTTATAAAAGTATAATTCCTCAGTTAAGGAGTTGTGTTTATTTATAATTGCCAACTTACCTCCTTAGGGGCTATGCTAAAATGTTCTTTTCTATCGGCATTTAGTGAAGTTCTAGTTTTCCCATATCCTCACTAACAGTCCATTTTCTTTAAGAAATTTTATTGTATTTATTGATTTGAGGGAGAGAGAGCGAGGGAGTGAGGAAGAGAAAGAGAAACATTGATTTGTTGTTCCACTTATTTATGAAATCAGTGGTTGATTATGTATATTCCCTGACTAGTGGTCAAAGCTGCATCCTTGGTGTATCTAGACTGTGTAGAGCCACACTCTAACCCGACTGAGCTACCTGGCCAGGGTAGTCCATTTATTTTTAAATACAATTTTTCCCACTATTATGCTTTGAAAACTTTACCACAGGAAGTAGCATTGTATATGTGGGGAATTTTACTTTGGCATTGTGCCAATACAGAAAAAGATTCTCGTCATATTTTCATCTTCAAGAGAAAAATATGTATTCTTGTTTTAGGACTCTGAGATTGTAGTGATAAAGTTTAGTTAGTTTTTCAAAGAAAACCAAAAGGCTCACTGTTCTATACATGCTGTATGTTAAAGTATATTATAATAAGTTGAGAATCTCAAAGTTCTGTGATTTTTTAAAATATAGATATAATATTCTTAATAACATTCTTAGTTGCTTAGATGGCAGCACCACAAGTAACAAAGATAAAATGTTGGAAAAGTTAAGTTACTAGACTTCTTTTTCATTTCATTTGTATTTAATAATTTGTTGAATAGTTAAAGCAGAATGCCTTCAATATGTCTTTAAGCCTGGAAGAAAGTAGGCTCCTTTGAAATTAAATTTCAGCAATGTAGTTGAGTAGTGAATTAAAACAATTCACAATGCTGACTTTCAGTGCTTCTGAAAGCAGGAAGTGTATTACAGACACACAGAAATATTCCAGCCCAAAGGACATCCCTAATGCCATATGTGGTAAGAATTTGTCACTAACTCACAAACCACTTCTGTGATGCAGTGAATAAGCAGAATTGGTCTTTGTTGGATGTTTCCAATTCAATATGTGAAAGAACTTTGTTTTTCAGTGTCTTATAAGTAATCATTAGCTTATGCTTTAGAAGGAGACTGACATATCGTTGGTGCTCAAGGTTTAAGACAGAATAAGGAAAATTGTACTTAATCTTTTGAGCAAGGTTTTAAATCTTGGTTTCTGGGACCCCTTGTTAAAACACAAAAATTACCTGAGTATGTTAAGGACTGAGTTAAATATTCTGACTTAGCTTATGTGATTGATTTCTTTAAATAAAATTACTTTCGTTCTAGTGCTCTTGCTTTCACTGCTATTTGAAATACTAATCTTAATGTTTGCACTTAATAAAAACAAATCATCCTTGGGGTTAATTTTTTAACTGTGAGCTTAGAAAAACAGGAAAATGACTTGCAGAGAATTGGGGTTAGCGAAATTCAATGAAGAACTATTTGAATTATTAAAATTTTGAAAATTGTTTTTCTAAACTTGAATTTTCTTCTCTTTTTTTAAATACTTTAAGCGATTAAGAAGATTGTCTACCAAATATAGAACAGAAAAGATTTATCCCACAGCCACTGGAGAAAAAGAAGAAAATGTTAAAAAGAACAGATATAAGGACATATTGCCATGTAAGTTTGAAATGCCCTCCGTTGTAATGGAAATGCTAATTAGCAGTTTGTAGCCTACACTAGCTTTAGTCTTTCTAGTGAGTTTGCTTGCTAAGGAGGTAGTAATTAACCTCTCTTTTAAGGTACACTGTAAGTTAATAATTTGTAATTGTGCTTCTTGTTTTTCCTTCTCAGAGTAGTTTTCTTTTACTGTTTAATACTCTGATACTACTTTTAAATAACTGAGAAATTCAAGTAAGAAAATCTTTTGGATTGTCTGTTCAAAGTTATTTTATTAAAATAAAATATAGTCCTGGTTGTGGTGTGGCTCAGTGGGTTGAATGCCAACCTGTGAATCAAAAGGTTTGATTCCTGGTCAGGATACATGCCTAGGTTGTGTGCCAGGTTGAAAGAGAGGCAACCCTTCAATGTATATCTTGCACATTGATGTTTCTCTCTTTCTCTTTCTCCCTCCCTGCTTCTCTCTCTAAAAAATAACTAAAAGCTTTTTAAAAAAAATATATAAACAGATAATTCGATAAAGCTGAATAAATTTTGTAAAATGCTATAATAAATATTTATTTTTATCTATTGTCTGTTCACAATGAGAAACTTTGTTGATTATTCATGAAAAAATGAACCATAAAATAATTCATGCCTGTAGGTCTGCTGTTCTCAGCATTCTAAATATTTGCCTCTGAGAATATACATTATACAGGGTGGTACAAAAGTAGAGCTACAATTGTTTGTGGAAAATAAAACAATAATTAATAAAAAATACAAGAATAAACTGTTTCTCATACAACTATAAACCTACTTATGTCCCACCCTGTACTGATAACATTATATTCTAGTGATAATAATGCAATTATGTTCGTAAATAGCATAGTAACCATTCATTAAGCTTTTGGAAAATACACTCCACTTTTCTTCCAGTCCACCTCAGAATAGGGATGGTATGGGTTTCTTCTGGACAGTGTTAAACAAGACAATCTTGAAATACTCTTACTGTGTTCTGGAATTAATATGCATAGCCTAGGCTTACAGAGACAGTTTCTTGCCCTGGCTGGTGTGGCTCTGTGGATTGAGTGCTGGCCTGAGAACCAAAGGGTTGCCAGTTGGATTCCAAGTTGGGGTACATGTCTGGGTTGTGAGCCAGGTGGCCAGTATGGGGTACGCGAGAGGATACCCACAAATTGTTGTTTATCCCCCTCTCTTCCTCCCTTCCCCTCTTGTCTAAAAATAAATAATTTTTTTTTTTTTTTAAAGACAGTGTCTCCATTTTTGTCTATCATCTGGGGAGATGAATCTTAAACAGCTCCAGGTTATTGTTTTCATAAATTGTGTTTCATTCATTGTTTTTACAAAATATATTGATCATATACTGGGCACTGGGGGTACTACAGAAAACAAAGTAGCAAAATCTCCTGCCCTTATGAAGCTTATGTTCTATTCAGGGTGTTGGGTAATGAATACAAATAACGTAGGTGGTCAGTCAAATGGTAATTAGTGCTGTATTGAGAATAATATAGTAGGGATGTGGAGCATAGAGAAAGCGGAGAATAGAATGGGGAAGCTTTAAAATTTTGAATAGAGATGGAAGGTCAGTCGTGTGTTGTTAAATTGGTCCTCTGAAAAATAAAAGCCCTGATTTTGTATTTTTGGCCAACTTCTATAGTAAATGGATTATTTGCCATAATCATCATAACAAACTTATGAGGTAGATACTATAATACGCCACTTTGAAGATGAGAAACTGAAACATGGAGGTTAAATTAAATAGCCTGTCATAGAGCAATAGAGTATATGAGGATTTAAACCCAGCCAGTCTGTATTCAGAACATTGGTTCTCAACTAGGGTGATTTTGCCCTTGAAGGGCTATTTAGCAGTGTCTGGTGACATTTTGGTTGGCAAAACTGGATGTACAGTAGGCAGGCTGCTATTGGCATCTTGTGGGTAGAGGCCAGGGATGCTTCTGCTTTCTACAATACAGAGGCCACAGTCTCCCCATAATAAAGAATTATCCAAGGCCAAAATATCAATAATGCTGAGGTTAAGAGACCTTGCTTGCCCTAGGGCCTGAGCTAATCACTGTGCTATATAGTCAGAGTGGCAGTGCCTTTTTTCCTTTAAATTATATAAGGTTTGATAAGCCAGTTTCCAATAAATTTCTAAGTCATTTTGATTTAGAAAATTATATTAAAAGTAATTGTACTTAGAGATGTATGTTTACTTATCATAAGAATAATGTTATCAGTTTCTTTTGCATGTTTAGTATGTCCAATGCTTGCAGATACAGTATTTTAAAAATAGCTTTATTGAGCCCTGGCTGGTGTGGCTTAGTGGGTTGAGTGCTGGCCTGCAAACCAAATGGTCGCTGGTTCGATTCCCAGTCAGGGTACGTGCCCGGCTTGCAGGCCAGGTTCCCAGTAGGGGGCATGTGAGAGGCAACCACATATTTATGTTTCTCTCCCTCCTCTTCTTTCTCTTCTCCTCTCTCTAAAAATAAACCTTAGGGAAAAAACTAAAATCGCTTTTTTGAGATATAATTTACATGTCATAAAATATACACATTATAAATACACAATTCAATGATTTTTACTAAATTTATAGAGTTGTGCAATGAAATTTTAGAACATTTAACCACCCCCAAAATATCATTTATGCCAATTTGCAATCTTCACCCCAGGCAGCCACTGCTCTGCTTTGTCTCTATAGCTTTTTCTTTTCTGGAAATTTCATATAAATGTAATCATAAAAGTGTCTGGCTTTTCTACTTACCATGTTTTTTAATTCATCCATATAACATATCAGTAGTTCATTTCTTTTTATTTTACACTAATATTCCATTGCATGGTTATACCACATTTTGTTTAACCATTTGCCAGTTGAAGAGCATTATGAACAGTGCTGTTATAAACATTTCCATACAAATTTATATGTGGACGTATGATTTTATTTCTTTTGGATTAGATACCCAACGATGGAATTTCTGAGTTTATGGAAGCTTATGTTTAACTTATTCAGAAACTGATAAGCTTATTTTCAAAGCAGCTGTGTACTACTTTACTTTCCTACTAACAATATATGATAGTTCCAGTTACTCCATGTGTCTGCTAACACTTGTTACTGTCTTTTTGATTGTAGTTATTCTGGTGGTAAATTTAGAGGTATCTCATTGTGGCTCTAAATTGCTTTTCTCCAATGACTAATGATGTTGAGCATCTTTTCATGTTGTTTTTATGTACTTGTATATGTTCTTTGGTGAAAAGTGTTTTGAAATCACTTGTATTTTTTTCAAATTTGATTTTTTTTATACTATTGAGTTGAAAAGTTGTTTATATATCCTAGATACACATTTTCTGGGGGGATTTTTTTTTTTTGTCTTTATTTAGATAAAGATATATGATTTGTAAGAAAAAATTTTCCCTAATATAGTTTGAGGTTAGGGACTGAAATATGAAATAGTCTTTATGTATGTGGGATTGTTCAGTACCATTTGTTGAAAAAACTATTCTTTCTGCATTGAATCACCTTGGTACCTTTGTTGGAAATCATTTGAGCCATACATTTAATTCTATTTCATTGATCTGTTCTTTGGTTCATAGGCTGGCACTCAATTCACTGAGCCACACCAGCCAGGGCTTCATTGATCTATTCTTAAGCCAATATCACACTATTGTGATTACTATAGAGCTATATACTAAATTTTAAGCAAGAAATGTAAGTCCTCCATCTGTGTGGGTTTTTTTTTTTTTTAAACTGATTCTTTTGCATCCTTTGCATCTCAATATAAATTGTAGGATCAGCTTGTCAGTTTCTGCAAAAATTCCAGTAGGAATTTATAGATCAATTTGGGAAGTATCATCTTAAAGCATATTGACTCTTTCAGTCTGTGAACATGGAATATCTCTCTCCATTTCTTTAGATTTTCTTTAATTTCTCTAAGCAGTGTTTTATGATTTTCTAAGCAGTGTACAAGTCATGTTTTTCTTTTTTAAAAATATAGTTTATTGATTATACTATCACAGTTGTCCTGATTGTTCCCTCTTGATCCCCATCTGCCTCATACCCCATTCCCTCCAGCAGTCCACCTCATGCTCCCCCCACCCGCCCCCACACACACTTAGTTCATGACCATGGGTTATGCATGTAAGTTCTTTGGCTACTGCATTTCCTACACTGTTCTTAACAGTTCCCTGTCTATTTTGTACTTCTTAATACCTGCACCTTTTCCCCCATTCTCCCACTTCCCCCTCCCTGCTGATAATCCTACAAATGGTCTCCATATATACAATTCTGTTCCTCTTCTGCTTGTTTTCTTAGATTGTGTTTTAGATTCAGTTGTTGATAGTGGTGAATTTTTTGCCATTTTAATGTTCATAGTTTTGATCTTTTCCTTATGTAATTCCCTTTAGCATTTTGTATAATAATGGCTTGGTGATGATGAACTCCTCTAGTTTTACCTTATCTGGGAAGCATTTATCTGCCTTTCAGTTCTAAATGACATCTTTGCTGGATAGAGAGGGATAGTCCTTGCTTTTCATCACTTTGATTACTTCTTGCCAGTCCCTTCTATCCTGCAGAGTTTCTTTTTGATAAATTAATTGACAGCCTTACGTGAACTCCTCTGTAGGTGACCATCTGCTTCTCTCGTGCTGCTTTTAAGCCTCTATCTTTAAACTTTGATGTGTCTTGGTGTGGTCCTCTTTGAGTTCAACTTGTTTGGGACTTTCTGTGCTTCCTGGACTTTTATGTCTATTTCCTTCACCGAACTAGGGAAGTTTTCTTTCATGATTATTTCAAATAAGTTTTTGATTTCTTGCTCTTTCCCTTCTCCATCCGGCCCCCATATGATTTGAATGTTGGTATGTTTGACATTGTCACAGAGGCTCCTTAGCCTATCCCCTTTTTTAAAAATTCTTTTCTTCTTGCTTTTCTGATTGTATGTTTTTTTCCTTATGTTCTAAATCATTGATTTGATTCTCAGCTTAATCCATTCTCCTGTTAGTTCCTTGTAAATTTTTCTCCATTTCACTTAGTGTAACCTTCATTTCTGCCTGGGTCTTTACCCTAATAACCAGTGTTTTGAACTTTGCATCTGACAAATTGGTTATTTCCATTTTGTTTAGTTCTTCTGGAGTTTGGTTCTTTTCTTTCATTTGGGCCGTATTTCTTTGTCTCTTCATTTTGGTAGCCTCCCTGTGTTTGCTGTGTATTTGACAGAGCTGCTTGTACTACCTGTCTCAGTGGCATGGCTATTGAAGAAAAGCTCACTGCCAAGTTTGATGGGGTGGAGCTTCAGATCATTGCTAAGGTGGGTCAACCTGTGGGAACCAGGTTGATGAAGTCTCCGATACCGTGTTGCCTTTCTGTGGCTCTGTATGGGCAAGTGCTTAGAAAGGGTACAATGCCACTGCCTGGCCTCTGGAGTTTTGTCCAGGAGGAAGCCATCCCCTGGCACTTGCCCTGATGCAAGATGCTTCAATTTCTCCACTCTGCCACTGTTGCCCTTCCAGCAGCTGCCCTGGTGCTGAAGCCCAGAGGGAGTGAGCCTGCCTGTCTGTTGAGGGCCCTTTATGGGGAGACCTTTGAGAATACAGTTCTGCAGTTTTTTCTGCCACCCCAACCCCTGTGTGTTTTTACAGCCAGAAATTATGAGGATTTAATCTTCTTGGGCTATGTGGTTTGACCTGGGGCTAGGATCCCACGTTCCCTAAGTATCTCTCCCAACATACGACCACCCATCCTGTGCCTCTGTAGCTCTCCATCTCTCTGCTCTTCTCTGTGCATCTCCATGTGTCTCTCCCTCTCCAACCCTCTGGATGAATGTGACTTCTTTAAATCCATGGTTGTTGGTTTTCCATACAGCTTAATTTTTTTCCTTTGAATCTGGGTGATATTTCTTTTGTAGTCTAGTTGTACTTTTTGCTGTAGCTGTGCAAGGAGGCAAAGTGTGTTTACCTATGCCTCCATCTTGGCCAGAAGTCTAGATTTCTTTTTTTTTTAAAAAAATCTTTAAGCTATTACAAATGGAATTATTTTAATTTTATTTTCAAATTCTTTTTTTATTGGTATAGTTTACCCTCAAACAGCACAGATTGGAATTGCGCAGGTCCACTTATACATGATTTTTTTTCAGTAACTATTTTCGATTTAAAGTTAGGAGTCCATGGATTTAGAGGGCCAGTTATGCACTGCTCTTTGCCAGGGGACTTGAGCATATGCAGATTTTGGTGTTCCCCGGTGGACAGAGTCCAGAAATCAATCGCCCACAGACAGCAAGGGACAACTTAAGTTTTGGAGAGTCAGAAGTTGTAAACGAATTTTTGACTACTTGAGGTGGGGAGAGTTCAAGGATCAACTGTATATTGAAATACAGTTTGTATTTTGTGTATTGATTTTTTTTTTTTTAATCTTGTGACCTTCCTGGACTGGTTTATTAGTTTAGTATTTTTCTGCGGATTCTTTCAGGTTTTTTTTAACATACGGAATCATGGCATCTGCAAATAATGACAGTTTTTGCTACTTTTTAGTATGGATCTCTCATTTGCCTTTTTACATTGGCTAGAACCTCTAGCATAATGTGAACTTGAAGTGGGCAGAGCAGACATCCTTGCTTTTGATCAATTAAAAGTAGGTTCATCACTGTTTAAAAAAAGTTTTTTTCTGGACCTATCTTGGACATTTGATTTATTTTATACTAGAATACTGAATTCAGTACCAGAATTAGGAAATTTCTGGGCACTCCCTGTGTCAAGGATACCTGTGCTTTGTGTGTTGTGAAGGCTAAAACTGAGCTGGCTAGCCTTTAGGAGTGATGGATCAGGGTATTCTGCCTGTCTAATGTTAATTATGGAGATCCTTTTATTTCTTAGACCTCGATTCAGTCACTAGGTGGTTTCTCTTTCCTTGGTAACAATCTTATCTATTTTCTTTTTGTTGTCATAGGTTGTTGATTTCTGTTCAAAAAGAAAAAACACTGCTGCTTTAAAGAGTCCCTTGGGTAGCCAGCATTGATTTTCATCTATTTGGAGTTGGGCCCTTGGGAAATTGTAGAGGCAGTCAGCAAAACCATGGAAAGAAATTATTGTTTTCACTTTCTTGTTAGTTTTTATATTTTTTTCTGCTCACTTTTATGCTTAGTAGGAGCACCAGTGAAGAATGTTAAAATACACATAATGATGTGTGATATAAGCAACATAATATTTAAATTCTCAGTAATATACTATGATTGTAAATAGAAAGTAGTGACTATAAAATCTGCATGTGCCTTAGAAGTTTGTTGGGGTTTTTTTAAGTCATTTCTGTGTCCCATCTTGAAGTTACTGAATAAAACTTATTGCAGTATGGGACTCAGAGTTCTTGTGTTTTTAATTTGCTTTCTCCAGCCCCCAGCTGTTGTATGATTAGAGAGAAATGAAATAAGACTGGAAAAATGCTAGTAATTATTAAAACCTGGTAGTAGATATATGGTGATTCATTATATTGTTATATGTTTGCCTATGCTTAAAATTTTTCATCATAAAAATGTTTTAAAATCCCCAGCTTGTATGTAGCAGCCTAGCACCAGTCTTGACTATTATTTGGTAGCTACTGTTACTATTTGGCTTCAGCACCCCCAGAAACATTTACTGAAGATCCAGTGGTACACAACTGTTTTACAAAGTTTCTGCCTTTGAGATACTTTGAGTAGAGGCTGAAAAAGTAACAAATACACAACAACTTGTGTGGTATGATTACATTTGTGCAGTTTTTCAAAGTATGTAGCTCTATGCATAAAAATTACTTCTGGAAGAAAAAAAGAACCTTATTATAGTATCTTTATTGGGAAAGAGTGAGAGAGTCCTAGAATTCAAGGACAGGGGAAGATTATTTTTATTTCATATCTTTAGGATTTAATTTTTAAAAATCATATATATTACTTTCATTTTAAAAAAAATTATGTAATCTTAAAAATTATATTTTGGGACTTACTGTGAAGATTATTTTTTACCCTAAGTAGACATTACCCAATAATAAATAGTATTGGCCAAGTGCAGTATTAAAGCACTTTTATGTGTCATCTTAATTCATTATTTGTCATAATTTACTTAATTTTTATTATTTTTTGTGAAATATGAAAGTTAGATTTTCTAATAAGATTTTTGCAAATGGGCTTGTGTATTGATGGTTAGTGCTCGCCATGTGATATGCTTGTTAAAAACTGCAGAGATTTAAACCCCAGATTCTTGTCTAGTAAATGTGGGATGATGCCTAGGAATTTGTGTGTCCAAAGAACTCCTGAGATTATACTGATTGCATCTTTAAAACACAGCTTTACCTCATCAAATTTTTGTTTTTAAAGAATGACTTCCTGTCAGTATGATGTTGGACGTTATCCATCTGATACCTAGAGTCAGTTTTTCTTTTTCAAAGTAAATACTTTTTGTTATTTAATCTTAACTTATGGTTCATTAGAAAATGCCTGTCTTCAACAGGACATAATTTGTGAAATCCTGTTATTTATTTTGCAGTTGATCACAGCCGAGTTAAGTTAACCCTAAAGACACCTTCTCAAGATTCAGACTATATCAACGCAAATTTTATTAAGGTATGTTAACTTTAAATGGTGTTTCTCGGCCATACTTAATGTCTTCCCACATACTAGTTTACTAAAGTATTTTAAATTGCCTAAACATGATAGCAACAGCAAAAGAAATAAAAATAAAATCATAGCCCTGACACATTTTTATGTGATTTCCTTTATAGTATCCTTATTCATAAAGTTTCGTGATAGTGGAGATAAATTTTTCTTTTTTTACATTGAAAGCTTATAAACACTTTACCTATTGCTAAATCATCTTTTCTGTTGTCCCTTTGAGTTTCTGTACACAGATGTACATGGTAATTCCCTGGTGTTAAATAGGTTATTTCCAGTTTTTCTTGATGGTAATATTGCAGTGAATATTATTGTTCTTATGAAAAATTCATAGGATAAATTACCAGTGCTGGAATTAGTGTGTAATACGGATTTAAAATTATAGAATATAAACTTAATATTTAACACTTTTGGCAACTGTCACCATTTCAAGTGGCAACCCAAAATGCAAGATTAAATATAGTCATATATTTAACATTTTTTGGTATACTCTTTGATCAAAAGCAGTTAAGTTCTTAATGTGGTTATCAATAGAGAGACACATTTAAACTATTTGATTAAATAAAAGACTTAAAGTGTTCTTTGTTTTTGAATCATTATAATTTTAGTGACAGTATAATTTTAGTGGTTTATATATGGTATGTATACATACATATTTTAATATAATGCTTTGTTGACAAAAGTATTAGAGTGGTAAGAGTTATGTGGTAAAAATAATATTATCTATGCCAACACTGGACAGTAATGGTTTCAAATAAGAACCTATTTTTTTCCCCAAAAAGTCAATTTTATCACAAAACCCAAAACATGGAGATAAAATATCAAAAAAACTGATATGTCGGTGGTTTGCTGTTTCAGATGTAGTTCATATTTATATTCTTTTATAAACATTTGCTAAGTATTTATAAAATGACATTTGTTAAAAGTTCTAGTTTTTAACTGCACTTTAATAACACTGAGCCATTGTATGATTCCATTAATGCTTGTTTAGTATTTTAGTCTGTTACCTTGTGTGATCTGTTGTTCTCAGGTTATTATTAGAAACATATAGTAGGCACACAATAAACTTTAAGTAGAATAAATAATTGAAAGTAGCTATGGAAGAATCTAGCTAATAAGAAAGAACTGTTGACTAGTTTTAGTATTGTTTTTAGAATCAAATGATACTTTATGTTTCTGCTACAGTTAACTTTGTTGACTCAACATTGGGACTTTTCTTGTTAATTCTTAGGTAAATAATAGTTTCTAAGTGATGATAAGGCATTTAATCATTAATTCTTTGTACTGTGTCTAATAAATACACAAAAGTAATAACATTTCATCCAAAGCTAAAGTTAATAGATTATATTTTGTCATGCTTTTATGTACTCTGAAAGAAAAATTATTTGGAAATGCTTTAAGTAAAAACCAGCAGTGTTACTAATAAAATTTGGAACCTTAAAATTTAGGTAAGGAAATATTTTTTTGATAATCATACTGAAATTTGCTTTTAACCATTTTAGGGCGTTTATGGGCCAAAAGCATATGTGGCGACCCAAGGACCTTTAGCAAATACAGTAATAGATTTCTGGAGGATGATATGGGAGTACAATGTTGTAGTAAGTAATTTACTTCTCATAATCCATTTTGACAAGTATTACATGTAATGACATTGGATGTTTTACTGAGTAAGACATGGAAATACTTCTTAGCCATAGTGATATCTTAATTAAAGCTAATATTTACTAAAAAGTCAGAAACTTATTCAAGGATGTTTCATTAAATTAAGAGGAGAGCGTGATTCACTTCAAATCTTGTCCTGTTTATGTAACTAATAAGACAGCTATGAAATGAGATGGATTGATAGATGGATAGAGGGAGAGCGATATGATAAATCCAACACAGTGCAATATTAATTGTAGAACACAGATGGCAGTTACACAACTTTGCATTATATTAAAGAATGTTGGAGTAGGGGAGCAAATGTAATAGCCGTATGTTTAAAGACAGTTTAATGGCCCTGGTGGCTCAGTCGGTTGGAGCATAATCCTGTACACCACAAAAAAAAAAAATGGGTGTGATCATGGCACAGACTTAATCTGCAGTCAGTGCGCATAGAGGAGGCAATGATCAGAGAAAATAGATGTATTTTTCTCTCTCTTCCCCTTCCTCTCTCTCTAAAAAATCAATAAAAACATAACCTTGGGTAAGGATTAAAAAATAATAAAAAAAAAAGACCGTTAAATTCATTCGACCTTTAGATAATTTTATTAAATGTAATTTCAGCTCAGAAGTAAACCTCTAAGATTCATAAAGTTTATTTTGTTGGTATATAGCCCTTGTTTGGAAGATGTGATTTTGACAATTTCTTTAACTTATACTTTGCATATTAACAAACTATATAAATGATCCCTGAAAGTATAGTCTTCATACTTTTCATATTAAAACTACTTTTTTTTTGCCTGGTTAGGGTGTGTACAGGAGGCAACTAATTGATTGTTCTGAGTAAAAATTAATTCTTGAAATCTATATTTCATTAAAAGGAGAAAATTGTGTTTAATTCTTTCTCTTATCCCCCACACTTCTTTTTTATTAGATCATTGTAATGGCCTGTCGAGAATTTGAGATGGGAAGGGTATGTATACCTGTTAACACTTAAAAATAATTTTGGCGTATTCATTTTGTCTCTTTATTTCTAAGGAGATATATATATTCCTGGTCTTTCATTATATTTTGAGCCTTGTAGTTAAAGCAGATACTTCTTTGTGTGTGTGTGTGTATTCTGTTATTGCTTTTACTGAATGAAAGGAACAAAGTATAAGTACATTTTATTACATACCGAAAATAATAGATTTTAATGGTGCTGTAAGTAGAATACTATTTATGGACTGAAGTGGAGAGACATTTTAAAAAGAGGAATAATGCCCTGGCTGGTGTGGTTCAGTGGATTGAGTACCGGCCTATGAACCCAAAAAATCAGTTTAAACTCCCAGTCAGGGCATGTGCCTGAGTTGTGTGCCAGGTCCCCAGTTGGGGGCATGCAAGAGGCAACCAATCAGTATATGTCTTGCACATTGATATTTCTCTCTCTCTCCCTTCCTTCCCTTCTCTCTAAAAATAAATAAGTAAAACCTTTAAAAAAACTAAAAATAGTAATAAAATTGAGCAATGAAAATGAGTTAAATAAAATAATTTAATTATAAATTTACAACGAATATTTTTATTTCTCTGCCTGCAAATACCACTACATTTTTTGTTTGTTTATGCTATCCTCAAAGAAAATTCCTTAATCTGAAATTTTTAATACTGGTATTTTTATGGCCTGTACATGTAAAAATTAGTTTTAAATCTATTTGATCTCCTGCAGCATCATCTACTATGTCTTCATTGTTGGGGGTGGTAATATTTATAGAATAGGTACTAAATTAAATTTATGTGTGGTCTTCATAAGTGTGACACACAAATCAAACTTAGAAAACAAGTTATGTGGTAATTTGAAGTTTCCCTATGCCAATGTGGTTCATTAATTAAAACAAAAATTAGTTTTGTTGTAAAATTTTTTATTAAAACATTTTTTCAGTAAAGAATATGCTGCAAAAGCAAGATAGTGCATCTTTCAGTTATGTGAAATATAATAACACATAAATCATCGCAAAAGCTTATTTTAACTGATAGTTTTTGTCATTTCTTCCAAACCAATTTTTAAATTTTTAACAGTAGTGGAAGTATTCAGTAATATTGGACAAAAAATAAACATTTTCTGAAATTAGAACTTAAACAGTTTTAGAAATTGTTAACTGTTTAAGTGCTGTTAGTATGTACTTCAGTACCATTGTTAATTGATTATCTTAGGAAATTTAAATTTTATTCTCCTAATAATTTCTTAAGTTACTAGGTGTAGGACTTATTTCTCTTCTATTAATAAGCTCCCCATATATATCAGCAATAATACTTGATTAAAAAAATAAGTTGTATTGAGGGCAAATTTTTTTTAAACTAAAGATTTTGTGATTAATAGTGTTTTGTTAGAAATAAGTCGTCAGAGAATTCAGACCTGCTAATTTGTTTGAAAACCTTGACTTAACTATTGGCTTAGAATGTGACCGAATGGAAAGAGCATAAGTAATGAAATCAAACAAACCTACACTTCACTAACTTTTTTGACCATTGGTAAACTGTCCCCACTAAGCTTCACTTTACTCACCTCTAACATGAATGATATATGCCTATATATCCAGGTTATGAATGTATTGATGTTTAACACATAGTTTTTGGTACAAGTAGTCATTAGTTTATACCTGGATTATAAATACCGATACATCCTTTCTTAGTTACTGCGGTATGTCAGTCACACAGCTTCAGTTCTTAAACTAATCTTATATAGCTTGTTTTCAAGATGTTAAAACTTTAGCAGGCAGAAGACCAAAAAACCCCTCAAAAATAACTTAATCAACTTTATTATTTTCTATAACCTACTGGGAAATGAGGTTTGTGCTTTTAAACATCCTAAAATATTAATAATATTGCTCTAAGCCAAAATAACACACTCTGCAGTTCTACTTTGTTGCCTTCTGAGCAGTATTGTCAGCTTAGGGTTAATTCCAGCCCATAGGTAATAATTTTACTTAATATATTTGAAACTGTAAGAACATAGCAAGAACTGATACGTTTCCTGCTGCCTGAAGGCTTATTTTAAGCTAGAGAGTCATTTAAAGACTTTCATTTTAGTGTTACTGGGTTTTAAAGTTGTTTTCATTTTTTAGCGGCAGAATCATTGTGTATTTTTATTAAGTTAGGGTTTCTTACTTAACCAAATTTTCTGTGGGGTTCGGTATTAGAAAACCAGTAAACATTGAGGATTCTATTTCTATACCTGTATAAAATGGGAAGATAAGAGGGGAAACTGGTTACACTTTCTGTAATTTCAAGTAAAGGTGGATAGTTTAAATTATGCATTATGCTTGTACTAATGAGTTTTTTTTTTTATACCATGAACATAACATTTGAAATATACTGTTATTTAGTACTTGCAACAGTGATGTAAGATAAGAATTATTATTCCCTTTTTTACATGTAAGGGAACTAAAGATCAGTTAAACAGGAAATTAGTACTTGTGAAATTCTTTGCTACCAAGTAGTATGCTCGTTCCACTATGCCACAGATTTTACACTTAATGAGAATTCAGCCAGATATTATGGAGATTTTCATTTTATGGACTTTGAAACTTGCCTGGAAACCCTTCATCCTAAATGGATTTTGTATCAAAAGCAGTTTTTTTCTTTCTAGAGTATGTTTTTAATAATGTTCTTATGATCAACTTTGGAGAGCACACAGTAGCCGATCTTTAAGGATGATTGGATAAGTTTGAGCTATCTTAGATCCTTGCTTACTGATGGCAGTTATTCTGTTTTCTGGGAAGGAACAACAAGCTGAACACTAGGGCACAAAATCAAGGAAAACTATCCTATGGATTACTAACTTTTTTTTTTTTGATAACAGAAAAAATGTGAACGCTATTGGCCTTTGTATGGAGAAGACCCTATAACATTTGCACCATTTAAAATTTCTTGTGTAAGTACCTGTTTTTATGTACATTATTTAATCAGAAAATTGGCATACTAGACTGATGATTGATTAAATTGTAACACAGTATGAACCCTTTTTTATATAAGCCAAGCACTCAGCGTTTCCATTGTAAATCTCTACTTAATTATACTAAACAAATATTAATAACGTTTGTTTTTATACCGCTTTAAAATTTAGAAGCTTTGAGAATGACTTTCATAAATATATGTTATCACTTGTTACCTTATGTTAATAGTGTTAGTCTTTGTATATAAGTTAATGAGTGTAAACGAGTAAACAAAGTAACTGTGTTTTGAATGATGTATTTGAAACCCTTGATGACTATAGTTTATCATGCTTATCTTTCATATTTGTCACACTCTCCAAAATGTTCTAATTAATATTGTACAAAGATGGCTTTAAGAATTGCCATCCTAGACATAAAGATTTTTCCTTTATGGCAGATAATTTGATGAGAAACTTAAAATATACAGCTGTTTAATGAACTCTTGAAATGCATTAAATTGAAATTCTCAACACAAATCTGAGAAAATGAAATATTTTTAAAAATGAAAGAAAAAAAGGTAAAATGTGAGCTTTAAAATAAAAACCACAATTTGCTTGGGGTTACACATGATGTCATCTTTCTTAATTAGCTGAAAAAATGTATTTTCTTATTTACTCAGCTCAAAAGACCTATGATTGAGCAAACATGAAAATTAAATACTTACCTATATTAATCAGGGTTTTCCAGAGGAACACAACCAGTAGGATGTGTATATATAGAGAGAAACAGGTTAATTATATGCAATTGGCTCACATTATTATTGAGGCTGGCAAGTCTAAAATCTGCTGGGTGGGTGGGCAAGCTAGAGACTCAGGCTCATTTCTCATTCAAAGACAATCTGTAGGATCAGGGAGAATTGATGTTGCATATGAAAGCAGTCGACTGGAGAATTCTCTTTGGGGAGACTGGCCCTTTTGTTCTATTTAGACATTGATTAAGTTGATATGGGCCATCCATTAAATTTTAGAGGGCAGTCTGCTGTGCTCAAAGTCCATTGATCCAAATACTAATCTTTCCCCAAAACACCCTTACAGGAACACGAAGAATAATGTTTGACTAAATATCAGTTATTTGATATTGACCACTCAGTGGCCCAGCCAAGTTGACATACAAATTAACCATCACATTCCCCCATCTCAGAATTATTGTTTTTGGCTTTGTTTTCCATGGTTAAATGAAAAACAGTTTCTGTGATTTTACTTCTCATTAGTGAGTTCAGGAAGTCCATAATTTTATGACTGACTTGTTACTTGTTCTTAAAATTTATGAATTCCTTTGATGAATACACAAAGTTTAGTGCTTCCTGGGTTGACATAGAAAAGGACTCAACTTGTATTACATAATCTCTTTTAGAAAATACAATGTGTTTTTGTAATGTTAACTATAACTCAAGAGTTCAGGTACCTAGATTTAATATGCAGTCAATACACTTTAAGTCCTAGTTAGAACGAAATATTTGTGGGTTATATATAAACATTTCAAAAACCATACTGCATTTCATATTATTTGAAATTAATAAAAACCAGTAATACATTCCACATTGTCTACTTCTCTGAGGGAATGCCTCCCTCCTCACCAACCCAAAAAGTATTCTGTAATATTAAAAAATCCTCCAGGAAACCTAGTTCTGTGCATTGTGGTTGTGTTGAACATTTGCAGATTTAAATGTGATAACTGTACTCGGTATTATAAAATTCAAGTGAAAATATGCAGTGCTTAACATTCAACAACAAAACAACTTGAAAGTTTTGAACAGTAGATCATGAATAGTAAAACACAATAATTAATAGAGAAGAGAATCATTTGTAATTTGAAAAAAAGGTGAATTGATTTTTGGGGGGTAGTTTTTCAATTGAACTAAAAGAGAATTAAGAAGTCCTCTTGATGAGGTTTGATTTGATTAGCAATAGCTGGTTTGATTTGTCAGCATTGTTATTGATCCTTGCTGAAAAAGCAAAAATTTTTTTATAAGATTTCAAAATGAATGGTAACTTTTTAATGACTTTTTTGGTATTTTATTTATTTTTTAATTTATAAATCATGTTTGTTCTAATTCAGTTGTCTCAATTTTTCCCCCTTTACCCCTCTCCACCCATTCTACCCCCACCCCCGTCCCAGTCAATTCCCACTCTGTTATCCATATCCATGGGTCATTCATACATACTGTCTAGTCCCTTCCCCTTCTTTCCACCATTGTCCTCTTTCCCCATCCCCTCTGGTCACTTTCAGTCTGCTTCATGTTTCCATGCCTGTGGTTTATTTTGTTCATTAGTTTATTTTGTTGAACAGAGTGCACTTAGAGGTGAGATCATATGGTATTTGTATGTCTTGTAGTTGATTCAGACAACTTAGGATTTGTTAGAACTGATGTTAACAAAAATCAAATTTAGAACTACATAGCAAGTTGGTGAAAATAACCATAGTAAGTTACTTGATTACTTGGCAGTCAGAGTGTTTGAGACTGAGGAAGAACAGTGTAAGAAGCTCTCTTAGCTTAGGGATGAGGAGGTAGTATTTGTAGAAGTGGTAGGACTGGGTAACAGGAGCTCAGTCTTCTGTTGCTCTATGTAAACCACTTACCAGATGCTGGCATAGTATCCAAAGGTTAATCTAACCCACTGCTTGTTTAGAAAATAAAGTTTTGTTGGAATACAACCAGGCCCATTAATTTACGTATTTGCCTATCACAACAGCAAAGTTTGAGTAGATGGAGACTTTATGGCCTGAACATCTAAAAATAGATACTAGCTCACCCTTTATAAGCAAGAGAAAATTAAGTCTTGGGACAATGTTTTCATCCATACTCTTCATAGATGAAAGTAGAAAACATACTTTTACCTTAATGTTATTTGAAAAGTTCAAAATAAATACGATTTTAAAAATAAAAGCCACAGTAATATTGGATTGTTTTTATTAATAAAACAGAGTATGTTGCTCTTGACAGTCACTGTCCTAGACTATCTTTGGTTTTAACTACAAAGGTAAAGAATAGTTTGCTTAGGGACAAACTGACCTAGAGGCTTTATTCTGATACCTTGACAAATGACAGTAGAAGACTTTTAAAGTGGTTATGTTATCCTTAATCAGAATAACAATTTGGGAATTTCTGAGTGTATCCCCTTCTTCACATGGCATCCAGTTGACTGAGAGTGGAGTGTTATGTAGGGAAAATTAAACTCTATGGAAAAATGAAATGGCTGAATGTGGTGGTAGGTACTAAGATGTTACATTTTGTTTATATTATTTCTATTATGTGATTCTGGTGATGGTGGTTATTTTTATTGGATGATAGACTTTTAGCTAAGTAATTGGTTAACAGACACTTCTGCTTAAAAATATGTATAGAGTGCCACCCGCTTTCTCTTCTATGAGGGGGCAGAACAGCATCCCCAGCAGACACAGAAATGCTGATCTTTGTGAAGACTTTGACTAGGCAAGACCGTCAGCCTTGTGGCTGAGCTCATTAACACCAGTGAGGATGTCCAAGTTAAAATAAAAGACAAGGAGGGCATCTGGTGTGACCAGCAGCATCTTGTTTTTGCTGGCAAACACTAGAGGATTGCCATAGTCTCTTAGACCTATGACATTCAGAAAGAGTCTGCCCTGTACTTGGTGGACTATGCAGGGTGGTATATTTGAGCCCTCCCTTCGCCAGGTTGCCCAGAAGTAAGACTGCAGCAAGATGATCTGCTGCAAGTAATATGCCTGCCTGCACCCCCACGCGGTCAACTGCCACAAGAAGTGTGGACACACCAACCTGCACCACAAGAAGGTTAAATTAAGGCCCCTTCACCACCTCCTCTGCCCGCAGAGTGGCCTTCTGCCTGAACCCTGTGGCCCTGGGGCCTCAATAAAGTTTCCCTTTCATTGACTGGGCAAAAGTAAACATAAGAAAATAAAAGTATATATACACGTAAATGAAACTTAAATTCGTGAATTTTTAGAATGGTTGTTTTTGTACTTACCAGGTACACCGGGAATTTTAAATGTTGATTTTATATTGTGGACTTTATGAAGTTATTCTTTGTTTTGCTGTGTACTATTTTTGTTTTAATGTTGTCACTGTCTCACGAGTGTTTCCCTTTATTTAGGAGGCTGAACAAGCAAGAACAGACTACTTCATTAGGACACTCTTACTTGAATTTCAGAATGTAAGTTATTTTTCATTTAGAGATAATATCTAAGGATAATTTTTAAAGAGAAGACACAAATCATATACTATCTTCAATAGTTAAAGAGACTTCAGATTTTTTTAGTTATGTACAATATTGAAGAAACTCAGGGTGTAATATTTCCTTTAGTATCTTGAGCATTTTGTATCTTGAGCCTTACACTTACCAAATTAGATAATGTAGTTTAAATAATAGTAATATAAATTTTAACTTAGTTAGAACAGCTGTCTGTAAAATAAATTTACTGTATTTGGAATACTTGGTTTCTTTGCTGCAAATGTATTTCCTCTATTGCAGTAGCAGGTATTGCATTGTTTAGATGATTATTATCCACTTTTACAGTTTATAATATTTTAGAAAGGGACAAGCCACTGTCAAAGCTAAGTAATTTAGGTACATTGTTTTCATTTGAGGCTCTTGATTTCAGTGTTTCAGAGCTATATAAAATGATAATTTGTCCAGGAAGAAGTCAAAGAAAAATCTAATGGACATTAGAGAATGCTTGTCAACCTTTTCCTCAATGTATTTTTTTTTTTATTATCTTAATTTAGCTTATTTTTATTATCTGTAATTTAACTTGCCCATAATGAAGTTCATTATTCCCTACTAGTGCATTAGTAAACATACTTGCAACTCCTACCTTACTGTTTACAAGAAGACATGGTTCCAGTACTTTTACTGCTCCCTATGACTTGACTAATAATTTGTCCCTTTAGTTGAGTCATTTATTATACTTTGGTTGCTATTTCTTAACTTACAGTATTAATAAATAGGTGCCGAATTAAACTACAGTAGTGTGTCAAGCATTTCAACTCTCTTAACTTTATCCTGGTAGATACTGTTTTCTCCATTGCACATAGATGAAGATAGAGACTTTTTAAGAAGTTAAGTAGCTTACATAAAGTTACTCAATAAATGGCAGAAATAGAATACAGTTTTAAGCTGGATTTGAAGCAGGTGCTCTTTCAGTTAAACACCTAAATTAGCCAATCTCAAAGCATTTTGATAGCAGGACTGTCCATGTTCTTAAAAATGTTGACGATTCCAGGAGCTTTTGTTTATGTGGGCTTTATCTTTTAATATTTACTACATTTGAAATTTAAAACAAGACATTTTATTTATTTTTTTAAATTTATTTTCTTACTTATTTTTTATTATGCTATTACAGTTGTCCCAGTTTTTCTCATTTGCTCCCCTCCACCCAGAACCTGACACTCCCTCTGATAATCTCCTCTCCTTTGTTCATGTCCATGGGTCATGCATGTAAGTCCTTTGGCAGCTCCATTTTCTATGTGCTTTACACCTCCCTGTCATCTCAGTATCTTCACCTTTTCCCCCATTCCCTCAGATCCCCTCCTCACTCACCACCATCCCAATGTTCTCCATATTGATGATTCTGTTTCTGTTCTTCTTGGTTGTTTAGTTTGTTTTTTAGAATCAATTTTTGATAGTTAACGCATTTATTGCCATTTTAAAGTTCACTCTTTTGATCTTTTTCTTAAATAAATCCCTTCAACATATCATATAATAAACTTTAGCTTTACCTTGTCTGAGAATCTCTTTATCTGCCCTTCTGTTCTAAATGACAGCTTTGCTGGATAGAGAGGTTGTCAGTCCTTGGTTTTCACCACTTTGAATACTTCTTGCTAATCCCTTCTAGCCTGCAAAATGTTTTTTGAGAAATCAGCTGACAGCTTTAGCACCTCCTTTGTAGGTAATTATCTGCTTTTCTCTTGCTGGTTTTAGATTCTCTATCTTTAACCTTTGGCCTTTTAATTACGACATGTCTTGGAATAGCCCTTTTTGTATCCATCTTGTTTGGGACTCTCTGAACTTCTGGACTGGCATGTCTATTTCCTTTACCAAATTAGGGAAATTTTTCTTCCGTTATTTTTTCAAATAGATTTCCAATTTCTTGCTCTTTCTCTTTTTCTGGCACCCCTATTGTTCAAATGTTGGAATGCTTGTAGTTGTCACTTATACTGTGTCAACTACAAGATAGATTAAGTTGTTGTCTTATACTGTCCTTGTTTTATTAATTTTTTTTTCTTATTGTTTTGATTGCTTGGTTTTGCTTCCTTATGTTCCAAGTCATTGATTTGCTCCTTGGCTTCATCCACTTTACTGTTGTTTCCCTGTAAATTGTTCTTAATTTCAGTTAGTGATCCTTTTCTGGCTTTATGTTCTTTATGCTGTTGAGATCCTCACTAAGTTCTTTGAGCATCTTTATAACCAGTGTTTTGAACTCTGCACAATAGATTGCTTATTTCCATTTTGTTCAGTTCTTTTTCTGGAGTTTTGTTCTGTTCTTTCATTTGGGCCATGTTTCTTTAGGCAGCCTCCCTGTGTTTGTTTCTATGTATTAGGTAGGGCTGCTTTGTCTCCCTGTCTTTGTAGCATGGCCTAATTTTAAATGTAGGTGTCCTTTAGGGTCCAGTGGTACAGCCTCTCATCACTCAAGCTGGGTACTCAAGGTGTGACTGTGTGTGGCCTGGGTATACCCTTCTCTTGTAGTTGAGCCATGGTTTCTGTTGGCAGGTTAGTGGCAGGGTTGGGGAGGGGTATGTATGTGGGATTTACCCAGGTCAGTCAGCTGCAAGGAGTGGCTGTGACCACTGACCAGCAACCTCCACCATCTGTGTAGGGTAGTGTAGTGGTGCTCCGATGTGGTTTGTAGCTGTCCACTGGGTACATAGACTCTGGGGTTTCCCTGGTGGTTCAGGCCTGGTGTGTTTTGCCAGGGCCACCCTGCCTGGGCTATAAAGCAATCTGAGATGGCTGCAACTTGTGCTGGGTTTGGAGATTCCTGGGTGAAACCAAGCTGTGAAGTTAGGCTGGCTGCTGCTAGTGCCAGGTCAGGGGTCACTTAGCAAGAGGTATGGAGTAGGGGTGGGGGCTCACTGAGGCCCACTGTTGCTTGTTTGAGAGGATTTGGGAAGTTGTGAAGCATGAACCAAGACCAGCTATTCATATGGAAAAGGTACTGTTAACAGCTCTTAAGTTTGGTGGGCCAGAGTCTCATGGGGTCTCCAGAGAGGGGCAAACCAAGTTAGCTAGGTTGGTGAAGTCTCAGATATGGCAATTGCTTGCTTGCTCTGTGGCTCTGTGTGTGAGGGTTCTAAAAAGGGACAATAGCTTCTGCCTGCCTTTCTGTCAGAGAGAAAGCTGTCCCCATGCTCTCGCCTTGACGCCAGACACTGCTGTTCCCACCCCTTGTATGTCACTGGTGTCTCTCATGCTGCTACCCTGGTGCTGGAGCACAGAGGGGGTGAGTCTGAGTAAATCCTTTTGTGGGTTCTTTAAGAGGAATTGCTTGGGGCTCCAGAGGTTTCTTCCACCCATTCGGTCCCTCCCTGCTGGTTTTTACAGCCAGAAGTTTTGGGAGAGTTATCTTCCTGGGAGAGTTATCTTCCTGGCACTGGAACCCAGGGCTGGGAAGCTTTGTGTGGGGCTGATACTCCTTGCTCCTGAAATATACCTCCCAAATTTTTATCCATCATTCAGGGATATGGGACCTGTCTGATCTGCATTTCTGCCCCTCCTACCAGTCTGGATGGATGTGGTTTCTTTCATTGCATAGTTGTCAGGCTTCCATTCAACTAGATTTCTGACACTTCTGGGTGGTTCTATATAGTGGTTGTAATTTTGATGTGGTTGTGCGAGAAGGTGAGCAGAGTTTACTATGTCGGCATCTTGATTGGAAGTCCAAGGCATTTGCTTTAAAAAAGAAATACACAAGCACGTATCCCATTAGTTTTGAAAGTGATGACATCATCATAAATCATGCAGTGTCGGGAGGACCCTGCTGTACATACATGAGAGAATGAAAGTGAAAAAGGCAAATAACACCTTAGTGTACTAAATAGTTTAGAAAATAGTTTAAAACTCATAGATCCCTTGAAACTATTGGGGGATGGGGTTCCCCACACCATAGTGATCTGAAATAAGACAAATAGGTTTGGGGTTGGACAGGTTCCTTTCTAATTTTATTTTTCAGTTTAAATATTATGTTAGTCTTATAATTACAGTAATTGTAACTCAGTGCTTATGGTATATTGCTCATCAATTTACTACTGTAGATTAATTAAATAGTATACATAGTTTAATAGTTAAAGAGCATGCTCTGGAGGTAAGACTGCCTGAGTTCAGATCCCACATTTGTCACTTGTCATGAAATGTTACATAAGTTATTTAATCATTTTGTCTCAATTTTCTTACCTATAATAAATTGAGGGTAGTATTAACAGTACCTTCTTTGTGACATTAACACGGGGATTAAATAAATTCTTACACGTGAAGCCCTTAGGTCAATACTAGGCATATAATAGTCGATAGATGTAGACTATCATTGTGTTGTTTAAATGTAATACCGAATATCACGTAACTATTCTTAGGAATGGCAGTAAAGTGAGATGCAGCTTTTCTATGTGTTTTAAAATTTGCAAATGTATTTTCATAATTACTGAATTTTTTTTATTCTTGAAGGAATCTCGGAGGCTTTATCAGTTTCATTATGTGAACTGGCCAGACCATGATGTCCCCTCATCATTTGATTCTATTCTGGATATGATAAGCTTAATGAGGAAATACCAAGAACATGAAGATGTTCCTATTTGTATCCATTGCAGGTACAAAAGTATTTTCCAGATTTTTAAATAGTTTGGAATATAGCTGGCATTATAATATAGGTGATAGATTATTGTGTTTTGAAACCTAATTTTTGGATTTTCATTAGGTAATTATATGGGTTTCCAAATCATAAAAGCTCCCTGAATCCTGAGGCTATTTTCCTTCTGTTAAGTTTTAAATTACATTCGTGTTTTTTTTTTAAACAAATATTTATAAAGTTAGGCCTTGGAGAGGGGGTTTTTGTTTTTGTTTTTAATCCTCACCTGTGCTTACTGATTTTAGAGAGAGGGGAAGGGAGGGGGAGAGGGAGAGAAACATTCATCAGTTGCCTCTTGTACTTGCTGACCCAGGACTGAACCTGAAACCTAGGCATGTTTCCTGAATAACAGTTGAACCCATGACTGGTTCTAGGGATGACACTCCCATCTATTTGAGCCAACCTGGCCAGGGCTACAACAGATTTTTTAAAAGACTTTCATTCATAGTACTTATTTCATAAAACTGCTATCAGTTTGCCTCTTTAAGTGACTTGGAGATGTACTGGTTAATTCAGTAGTTAAATTTTTTTTTTAATGGAGGTGAAGCACTGCAGATAGTTTATCTAGTTTACCTTGTTGTAATACCTCTACTAATGAAGTGAAAGGGCTGCTTTTTTATTTATGATCCAGAAAGGGTAACTTGTTGATGGAGATGGGAACAATCAGTTAACAGCTAGGTTAATTAAAAAATATTTTGCTGTAGTTAATTCAGTGGTTAGTTGACCTTTTCATCAGGTAATTTACTGGTTAAAAACAAACAAAAAAAATGCTTTTTTGTAAAATTAAAAGATAAAGCAAATTCTTTGGCTTCTTTTACAAGTTAGTTGAAATTATATAAACAACAGTTTATTCAGTGGCCAGTGTTATCGCAGAATCTTTGAATACATCTGTCATTATTTCATAAAGACAGATGTATAAAAGTAGGATTTCTAAGTCAAAGGATGTGAAATTTTTAATGTTTTTAATACACATTTTTACATTTAAATAAAGCTGGTGTTAATTATATTTAAGTCCTACCACTACCGGTTTGTGGGGTACCTGTTTGCCCCAGAGTCAACACAATACTTTTTGTTTGTTTTAATGCTTGTGATAGGCAAGTTTATGGGGGGGGGGGATCATTCATAGTTTTTTTTTTTTTTTTTTTTGTGAGTTGCTTGCTTATATACCTTGCCAGTTATTTTATAGTTGTGGTCATTTATCTCTTAATAATTACATTACGAATTCTGTATATATTGAGGATGTTAACTTTTAGTCATGGTTTTTCATGGTTTTTATTCTGCTTGTTTTGTGATGTCTAAATTTAAAATTGTTGTTGAGAGTTGTAAATCTCTTTATGATTTCAGTCTGTTGAGGTAGGCTTTAAAGTTCTTAACACATTAGTGCTTCAAGTTTTGCCTATATTTTTTAGCACTTTATAGTTTAACATTGTATTTTTAATCCATTTGTAATTCTTTTATGATTAAGGTATTACATAAGAATTGGATATTTGCTCTCCATTGTTAGCTAACTTTCCCTGTACCCTTTGTTTGAGTGGTCAAGTCTTTCCCCTTTAATTGGAGAATCCACCATTATGTAGTAAACACTTACATATATTCAGATGTTTCTAAACTTTTCTGTTTTGTTTTGTCTGTGTCTGTAATATTATATATTTAAACTGTCAAGTTTTAAGTGTGTATTTTTTAGCTCTAGTAATTCTTGACTCAAATTCTAGAAATGTTTTAGAAATAAGTGAAATTGACAAATGTATCAGTGGTTTAAAATGAATATTACTGATCATTAAGAGCTTTTTAAATTATACTAAGTTGCTTATAATGTATTTTATCATGTCTTTCTAGATTACATATTTAACAGAGTAATTCTAAATTTTTTAAATACGCATTAAAATAATGCTCAACTTTCTTCTGCCTAAAAATTACTCTACTGATGTCAGTAACGTTTTTAATTACTCATAGTGACTCTCAATCCTGAGGTGCATATTGCCTCCCTCTGTTTGAGAATCAGTTGCTCTAAAGTATTTCTGTCATGTTTTAAAATAAAAATCCTGTGGTATTTTATTTAACATTCTCTAGGTTCTGTTAGTTCTTCAGGAGGTGAGAGGGGGATCAGGGATCTTTTGTTGAATCACTGCTGGTGTTCAAGTCAGTCTCAGGGCTTGTAGCATTCTCCATCTTTCCTGTACCCTTTGCAGATTTGAAATGACGCACTGTTTTCTCTTCTACTCTAAAGCATGAGAACTATCTTTAAACAATGAATAAATTTATCTCTGCCAGATACTTCGTTAACAAGACAAGGTTTTCTGAGGTAGAATGAGGCTTCTGCAGTAAACGCTCCTAGGTATTCTGTGAGTCACTTAGTGTAGAAAGTTCTTTAAATTTATTAAAAACAAAATACAAATATTAATGTTATGGATGTTTGCCATGCACATACAGTACTTTTAAGTATAAGTAGGATTTGTCATATTTCTTAAATGATTTTTTTGGGTTCTAAATATTAATATGTTTTTAATTTAGTTTTTTAATAAAAAAAATCAAAATTTTTTTTAAACTTTGTATTCATAGTGCAGGCTGTGGAAGAACAGGTGCGATTTGTGCCATAGACTATACATGGAATTTACTAAAAGCCGGGGTAAGAATAATTTTTATATAACAGTACATCCAATTGAGCTGTTAGGATACATCCAATTGAGCTGTTAGGACCAATTTCAGTAAATTTCAACATGTTTTGTTGTACATGTTACTTTTTTAGAAGTAGGTTTGCTATCAAATAATATAGGTTAGTGAAAAGGTGTAAATGATTCACATAACATTGAGATAACGCTCTGGGCAGCAAGGTAAACATGTTGTGACCCATTTGTTCTAGGTGAATTAATACCTATTCTGCATTGACTTTTACCAAATCCATTCAGTAAATATATGCCTAACTGGAAACATAGTGTAGTGGTTAGGAATGCTGACTCTGAGCCAGACTGTGCCCGGATTAATATTCTGGTTCTGTCATTTTACCAGCTGTGGGATCTTGGTCACATTACTTAATCTCATTGTGCCTCAACTCATCTGAAAGTGGGAATCATAATACTAGTAATTCATAAGAATGAAATAAGTTAATCATTGTAAAGTTCTTTAGAATTATGTGGGGCATGTAGCAAGTGCTCATTTCAGTGTTTTTATTAATAATGCTGCTGATATTACCACCATTGTTTTAAAAAAGATTGTTTGATCTTCTGTAGGATTTGAAAAATGCAATCCTCCTAATTGTGTATAGATTTGGTTCATTTGGTAGTTCTTTAATACGTTTGTTTTCTATGCATTGCAGAGCAGTTTTTAATCCCTCAAAGCTTTATGGTTCCTCTGAACATGTCAATTTATGTCTGGTATAAAATAGGATTAATAAAATACTTAGTTCCTTTTCCTTCTTTTCTTTATTCTTTTTCCACCTGCCTTTCTGCCATTTTTTACTTTTGCTAGGGAATATTTAAATCTTAAAGTTTCGCAAAAAGCCCAGAGATTAAATTTTATTTTTGTATTCTTCAAAACTGTGATTATCTCCTAATGTGGAATTGAAAAGTTTTATGTGAATAAAATTCAAGTAGGATTCTATCACATGTTAACATAAAAGTCAAAGATTAAACTGGGGGTGGAAAGAGGCATTTAGATAAATGCCAGCAAGCAAAATAAACTCATCATTTTGACAGTTGCGCATTTTGAACATAATTGCCATTTGATTCAGTTTGCCTTAACATAAATATAGTCTTGGGCCTTACGTTAGGACTTGATGTAAAAATCATTTGATATAAAGACTTCCCAGCAACAAATCTGGGTATTGTTCTTAACTCTTCTATTTTCCTTATCACTCCAAAATATTCTTAATTGCCTTATTGTTCCCCAAAGTCCAACAGTTTTGCCTTAGAAATGTGCCTGAAATCTGTTTCTGCATTTCTGGGGTTCGCCCCGCCACCCCCCCTTTTTTTAAAAGATTTTATTTATTTATTTTTAGAGAGGGGAAGGGAGGGAAAGAAACATCAATGTATGGCTGCCTCTCTCGCGCCCCATACTGGGGACCTGTCCTGTAACCCAGGCATGTGCCCTGACTAGGAATTGAACCAGTGACTCCCTGGTTTGCAGGCCATCACTCAATCCACTGATCCACACCAGCCAGGGCAACCTTTCTATCTTTTTAATGCTGCTTCAGTAAATCTCTGCAGTTTCTCTTCTTTTCAGAATGCCATCTTCCCCGCTACAAAAGTTGCCTGAAAATCAAGCCTGCTCATGTCAGTGTTGCCTGTTGCAGCAGTTCTAATTACAGATGTACATAAGAATTGTCTAGGATTATCATTCTCCAGAGTGGTAGCTGAAATACCTGGTTATTTTTGCCTACCTCTTTTAGCCCATCCTTATATAGCTAGCACAGGAAACATTGGCCTTTAGAATGAATTTAAACTCTACTGTGTTTATGTAATCTGAAGACTGTTTTACTACTTTTCTGAACAATTATTCAGAGTTCATGTACTAACATTCTTTGTTTTAGAAAATACCAGAGGAATTTAATGTATTTAATTTAATACAAGAAATGAGAACACAGAGGCATTCCGCAGTACAAACTAAGGTACAATTTTTTGTTTCACTTATAAACTATATTTCTATAAATGCTTCTTTTTAATGTTTCACCTTTATCATTTCATATCTCAAATAGGAGCAATATGAGCTTGTTCACAGAGCTATTGCCCAACTATTTGAAAAACAGCTACAACTATATGAAATACATGGAGTCCAGAAAATTGCTGATGGAGTGGTAGGTGTCTTTGACGTATTAATTTTAGAAAACTTCTGCTTTTTACCTAGATGTAATATTTAGCTTTTTAATTGTAATCTTGTGTTTTATCTAACATGAGAATATCCGTGATAGTTCTTTGTATTTAATCTTGATTTTGTTAACTCCTTTCCTTCTTCCTGTTTGAAACTCTCAATTAGGATGGGTATTTAATGATTCCAGTACAAGAAGTCATATTCTAAATAAAATATAGCTGGGAAAGTAGTTCTTACGTCAAAAATCATAATTCTTCATTGTTTCAAGTATAAATTACTTTTTAAAAAATTAGTTTCATTGTTCCATAAAAGAGTTTCCAAACCTGAAGAACTTAGAGAGTTTATCTGAGCCAGGCTAGAAGCCAGGTTTGAAAGCAAAATCTCAATGGATTGAAAAAGTGTTCCAGAGACTGGCAGTTTTGCAGCTTATTTTATACAGTACAATTAAAGAACATGTAAAGAAAGTGACATGAAATCCACTGGTGGTAGTTTAAGGAGGGAACAGAAAGTAAAGCGGGGAAATCTCCAGGATTGCATAAGAGGCAAAACGGTGAGTGCACGATAGTTAACATTTAATACATGAAGTTTACAGAGGTATGCAGATAAAAAATAACAATAAGGAATGTTAGGGTTGTCTTGCCTCATTTACTGGGGTGTTTATCTCTGGAGGTCTGGAGAAGAAGAGATCATTGTGACATTTTAAGTATGTTATCCTGGACACATAAAAACAATGTATAAGGCTTCCACAAGGTAAGGATTAATCTATCACATAGGTCTAAGATCTGACTTCCCATTATAACCTCTTTAGTTAGGGATTCTTACGATTAAAACATTTGGTGTTGTCACCTTCAGTTAATAGTTGGTTAGGCTTGCCAGTTGTTCCCTGAGCATGTCTGGTCTGCCAGGTAGCCAGCTCCATATTCCTTCAGTTTTCTGTCCTCTCCCTGCCACCCCCACATAAATAACTGTAAATTGATTCCCCATGAATTGTATTTTGTTCTTGGTCATGATGATGTAAAGTTTTGTAGTTATTTTGTATATGCTTTTTATTTAGGTAGCAGTATAGGGCCACGATTAACTCCCCTTTTGGCATGATTTAGTTTAATGTCATTTTAGCTTTAAAAGATCTTACTGGAAAGAGAGCAGGATCAAGATGGTGGGGGGAAATTGGGAGATGGCTGGAAAAGGTGAAGGGGATTAAAAAGTACAGACTGCCAGTTACAGAATATGTCGCAGGGATGTAAAGTACAGCATAGGGAATACAGTCAATAATATTGTAATAACTGTGTGGTGACATGTGGTTATTAAAATTATTGTGATGATCACTTTGTAAGGTATATAAATGTCTAATAATATGTTGTAAACCTGAAACTAATACAATATTATATGTCAATTTTAAAGATAAATTAAAGAAAAATGATTTTATTGGATATCGTTGTGTTAAGACAATCTAACATTGATCCAGCAGTTTTAGGGACTGTGTATTTCCTTTATTAGGCAAGTGACAGTTTCAGATTTTTAAGATTCATTTATGTGAACTCGTTCTTTCTTCCGTTATTATTAAAGGTGTGATTGTGCAACTAGGCCTCAAACATTGCCATTACTTTTTCCCCTTTAGTTTTATTAAAACTTGTTATAGCCTATGCTGAATGTAGCCAAATATTTTATAATATAGAGTAGAATGCTAATATATTGTATATAAGCTTACATAAATTGAGATTTATTTAATATTTCAAAAAGTTAAGAAGGCTGTGCATTTTTCTTTAAATTTTAATTGAAATACATACCTGTTCTTTTTTCATAAATGCAATATTAATTTTAAAGTTTTTATATTTCAGAAATGTAGGGTTTTATTTTTAAATTTTGTTTAAAGACTTTATTTATTTTTAGAGAGAGGGGAAGAGAAGGACAAAGAGGGAGAGAAACGTCAATGTGAGGTTTCCTCTCTTGCCCCCCTCACTAGGGAACCTAGCCCGCAACCCAGGCATGTGCCCTGACTGGGAATCAAACTGGTGACGCTTTGGTTTGCAGGCTGGCATTCAGTGCACTAAGCCACACCAGCCAGGGCCAGGAATAGAAGTTTTTTCAAAAATTTATTTATTTATGTTTTAGAGTGAGGGGGAAGGAAGAAAGAGAGGGAGAGGAACACAGATGTGGGAGAGAAACCGGGAACCAAACCTGCAACCCAGGGACATACCCTGACTGAGAATTGAACCAGTGAACTTTTGCTTTGCCTAACCAACTGAGCCACACTGGTCAGGACCAGAAATATAGATGTTTTAGACTGTTATTTCCTTAGTATATAGAAGTGAAAAATAACCATTACATTTTTATAAATATAGAAAGTTATTCTCAATATTTTATTGAGATATAATCTACATATAACACTATATTAGTTTCAGGTGTACAATATAGTGATTCAGTATTTTTATATATTGTGAAATGATCACCAAATAAGTCTAGTAAACATCTATTACCACACACATTTAACAATTTTTTTCCCTGATGATGTGAACTTTTAAGATTTACTCTCTTAAGAACCCTGTTTTTCTTCTCCCCTTTCTGGCCCTCTTCCCTGCACTCCTCCTGCCACCAGCATTCCCCGCTCCGTAGTTCCTGTCCATGGGTCATACGTATAAGTTCTTTGGCTTCTCCATTTCCTATACTATTTTTACCCTCCCCTGTCGACTTTGTACCTACCATTTATGCTTCTTATTCCCTGTACCTTTTCCTCCATTCTCCCCCCCTTTCCCCCTCTGATCTCCATTTCTGTGATTCTCTTCCTGTTTTAGTTGTTTAGTATGTTTTTCTTTTTAGGTTCAGTCGTTGATAGTTGTGAGTTTATTGTCATTTTACAGTTCATAGTTTTTGATCTTTTTTAATAAGTCCCTTTAACATTTCATGTAATAAGGGCTTGGTAATGATGAACTCCTTTAACTTTACTTTTGTCTGGGAAGCTCTTGATCTGCCCTTACATTCTAAATGATAGCTCTGCTGGTTAGAGTAATCTTGGATGTAGGTCTTTGCCTTTCATGACTTTGGATACTTCTTGCCAGCAAGGTTTCTTTTGAGAAATCAGCTGATAGTCTTATGGGAACTCCTTTGTAGGTAACTGTCTCCTTCCCTCTTGCAGCTTTTAAGATTCTCTCCTTATCTTTCAACTTGGGTGATGTAATTATGATGTGCCTTGGTCCCTTGGGTCCAACTTCTTTGGGAGTCTCTGAGCTTCCTGGATCTCCTGGAAGTCTTATTTCCTTCACCAGATTGGGGAAGTTCTCCTTCATTTGTTTGTTTGTTTGTTTTTTTCAAATAAGTTTTCAATTTCTTGCTCTTCCTCTTCTTCTGGCACCCCTATGATTCAGAAGTTGGAGTGTTTAAAGTTGTCCTGGAGGATCCTAAGCCTCCCCTAATTTTTTATTAAATTCTTGTTTCTTCATTCTGTTCTGGTTGAATGTTTATCTGTTCCTTCTGCTCCAAATCATTGATTTGAGTCCCAGTTTTCTTCCCTTTACTGTTGGTTCCCTGTATGTTTTTCTTTATTTTACTTTGCATAGCCTTCACTTTTTCCTCCCATTTGCGACCATACTCAACCAATCCTGTGGGCATCCTAATTACCAGTGTTTTGAACTGTGCACCTGATAGGTTAGCTACAGGTTCATCACTTAGTTCTATTTTTGGAGCTTTGATCTGTTCTTTCATTTGGGCCATATTTCTTTGTGTCAGTGCACCTGTTATGTTGGAAGGGGTGGAGCTTTAGGCATTCACCAGGGTGGGGTAATTCAGGGTTTTGTGTTGTGATGCTGTATGTGGGGGAGGGGTCCAAGAGGGAACAATGCTGCTTTTTCAGCTCTTGGCTGGCTTTCAGTCGTTTCCCCCGGTACCCACAAGCAAATTGGGCCATTCTGGTGGTGATTCCCGGGTGGGTGAGTTTGTGTACATTCTAGAATCCTGTGGGTCTCCCCAGCAAACTCTCCTGTGAGGCTGGGAGTTTCTCTGCTGTTGCATCCCCCACAGATTTTTACAGTCATTGGTTTTGAGGCTTTCTCTTCCCACAGTGAAACTCTAGGTTGCGCAGTCTGTCTCGCTCCTGAGCTGTTCCACCTGGTTTATCTGTAGGCAAATGTGGGATCTCCCACCTGCCAACTTGTCTGCCCTGTCCTCCAGTTGCCGCCTCACTGCGTATCCTCTCTGCCCTGGCTGCGCATATTCACCCTTCCTACTGGTCTGGATGAATGTTTCTTCTTTAATTCCTTGGTTGCTGGACTTCCATACAGTTCAATTTTCTGGCAGTTCTGGTTATTTGTTTTTAAATTTGTCGTCCTTTTGGTGTGCAAGGAGGCAAAGTGTACCTACCTGTGCCGCCATCTTGGCCGGAAGTCTAAGAATTTTCAAATATACGATACAGTATTGTTAACTATACTCATCAAGCTTACATTACATACCATTACTTATTTTATAACTGGAAATTTTCACCTTTTGACCCCTGTCACCCATTTTTACTTACCTCCCATCCCTGCCTATGTCATTCACTAATCTGTTCTCTATCTTTGAGTTTGATTTTGTCTTTTTGTTTTTGGGTTCCACACATAAGTGAGGTCATGCAGTATTTGTCTTTCTCTGACTTATTTCACTTAGTATTAATGCCATCAGGATCCATGCATGTTGTTGCAAATGGCAAGATTTTCTTTTTTATGGTTGAATAGTATTCCAGTGTATGTATAAAGCACGCATACTTGATTGATCCAGTCATCCAGTGATAAACACGTAGATAGATGAAGATGCAGTGAACATCAGAGTGCATGTATCTTTTTGAATTAGTATCTTGTTGGTAAATACCAATAAGTGGAATTGCCAGATCATATGGTAGATCTATTTTGAATTATTTGAGGACCCTCTATATTGTTTTCCATCATGGCTGCAGCAATATACATTCCTACCAATAGTGCACAAGAGTTTCCTTTGATCTGCATCCTTTCAACCACTATTTATTTATTTTAAGTAATAACCATTCTATTGTAACTGGTTTCATTGTGGTTTAGATCTACATTTTCTTCATGAATAGTGATGTTGAGCAGTTTTTCATGTACCTATTGGACATCTGTATGTCTTTGTGGAAATGTCTTTTCAGATCCTCTGCCCATTTTTTAATTGGATTTTTTAATTTTTTGCTATTGAGTTGTGCATGTTTATATATTCTTGATATTAATCCCTTATCAGATGTCTGATATGAAAAATGTTTCCTCCCATTTAGTAGGTGGCCTTTTCATTTTGTTGATACTTCCCTTTGCTCTACAAATGCATTTTAGTTTAATGTAGTCCCACTGTAGATTGTCTGTATAACAGGTCTTTCAGAAGTTTCCAAATGGCTAAGGAATACAAGAAATATCACAAGTGCATAGGGATACACACACTAAATGTCTGCTAACTGAATTTAAAAAGTTAAACTATGTCCTTGTATTTTGTTAAGCTGAGGTGTGGTGACTGCTGAGTTTTCCATCTGGACAAGATGGGTTTTCCTATCCTGCATAAGGAAAAAGCAGCTTTGTATAGAATCTATTCTGAAGAAGCTATATCTGATGAGAATAAATATATTTTACCTATGGTTGTGTACCATAATATCTGGCGCTCTAGTTTCCTCTTAAAAGTGCCTAGAAAATAAGATTTCTTAAGTATAGTTAACTTTATATATATGATTGGAGACCATAAATCCCAGTTAGAGAAAATGTGGAATCTTATAAAAGGGAGAAATTATCTTAAAACTGTGTGGTTGCGTAAAATGATTTCAAATAATGTTACTTACCTTTGCGAACCTATGCTGTGGAAATCATGAATCTCTGTTTAATTATTTTTCTGATAATTTGATTTTGAAACTAGCTCTGTGTTCCAGAAGTATTTTTGTAGAAATTTTAGTTTGAAATGCTAGTCAGCAATTTAAGACTCTATAATAAATGCATGCTAGTAAGAGGTGTTTAGAATTAAAAATGATTTTCCTGAGTAGGAGATCTAAATATAGTGTTTATTCTGTGATCCAGTACTCTATTACTTGTGATTTAGAGACATCTCAGAAAGCAAACTGTTTGTAAGGTATGTTCTTTTACCTTGTATATAAAAGACTTCACCACCAGTTATCAACACCAGGATTTTCAATTCTACAATGATTGTGTAATAGCAGTAATAGTTTGTGTTGCACATTTTAGATGTGATACTGAATTCTGAATATTATTTCCTCAAATAATATTCTTAATGGAGATTGACTGTTGGGGGACACGGAGCAGTGGAGAGCAATGGGGAAAGAGGCAGGACAACTATAACTGAACAACAGTTTAAAAAATAGAAAAAAATAACATTCTTTAATTTTAAAGCACCCTGTTTTAGTATTTATTTTATTCTGTAGCTGGAGATTATTCTCATATATTTGATAATTAGGTTCTGATATTTTTCTTTTATGGCTTTTGCTACAGCTGTGTTATGTGGGAAAAAGTAATACACAGAATAACTTTTGCTAATGGGTAAAGGTAGTCAGCCGTTAACAAAAAAGTAACTTGAGCAATCTCTGCTTGGAGCAAGAGAATACACTAGAACCTAATATGCAGTGGACTAATGTCTACAATTCTTTTCAACTTCAAAAGTTGGAGATTATTTCAACAGGTAATAAAAGCAGCTAAAGACAGCTACACAAGATCTGTCCAGGGAAAAGTCCAGCCGTTGTTAATACGAGAATGGTTTGCGCATCATCAGTGTAACCTGGCAGCCAAGGAGAGTGGACTGGAATGCGCATTCATAAACATGACTTCAGAGTAATAGTGAAGTTGGCAGATACTGAGGAGTAAGCATTTGTACTGTGTGGCTGTCACATTCAAAATTACTGAGAGTAGAACAAAGATTTTGCATCAGATTTTGCATTAAGCTTGAACATTCCTCCACGGAAACTATTTGAATGGCTCTGAAGGCCACAGCTGCGGGCATTTGGTGATTGGCAGCTTCATCATGACAGTGTGCCGGCTCATGCATCACACATGGTGCAGAGTTTTTTGGTGAAACGTCAAATCACCCAGGTGACTCAGCCCCTCTACAGCCCATATTTGGCACCGTGTAACTTCTGGCTTCTCCCAAAACTAAAATGACCGTTGAAAGGGAAGAGATTTCAGATCATCAGTGAGTTTCAGGAAAATACGATGGGGCAGCTGATGCCAATTAGGAGAACTGTAAGGTTCCAAGGTGCCTCCTTTGACGGAGAGTGAGGCATTATTGTCTTTTGTACAGTGGTTTTTTGTTTGTTTGTTTTTGGTATCTTTTATCTTCTTCAATGTCTCTTTTTTGTATTATGTGGCTGGATACTTTCTGGACAGACCTCATATTCATTAGGACAAATGTGCAGGCAAAAACTATAGTCAATTTAAGAAAGTCAGAAGGCATGAGAGTACAGCAAATAATATAGGTAAAAACTAGGAGTCCAAGGATAATACTGTTCTGTTGTGAAGTCCAGTGACTAGAAAGTTTTTTTCATGCATAGGCCATGGCTCCCTCTGCATTTCCACATTAATTCCATTCATCATATAAAATTCAATGTGCTCAAAAAGCTTACTTCCCCTAGAAATTCCTTTTCCTTTTTTTGTCCTATTTATGGCTCCACTACTCTCTCATTCACCCAGAATGAAGAATCCTTCCTGACACCTTCTTTCCTTTATTACATGTAGTCATTTGTTGGCAAATGTTTTTACTTTTTGTTGTTCCCTCCCACCTCTTCCCCCTTTCATCCTTTTGTTATTTTTGTCAAAGTCTTACCTATCCCTTAGAGTTCAACTTTAAGAAGTTGAAAATATTCTTAATATTCTCAGCTATATAACATTTTCTTTCCCTGATTTGACAGCTTTATTATACTGATTTTACCGCTTTTTGGTTTTATTAACTCTTTACTTTTGTGTTTGTTGTTGTACCAGACTATATGCTTCTTGAAGTTAAATACTGTTTCCTTTACATTTTTGTATCCTCCCCAGTGCTTACTGTTCAGTGCATTTCACTTGTAGAGCCACAATGCCTTGCCGACTGTTTGAAAATCTAAAAATGCTCTGAAAACCTAAAGTTGTTTTTCTGTGTGTGTTTAGTGCTCATTTTGCAGCAGAACTTAACACGAGATGAGGCTCTTATTTATGGTTTATTATAAAATAATGGCTGTGTTTTTGTAGGTTAAAATCAGATCAATAGTAGCAGTTTCCCATGCAGTCTTCATCTTTATTTAACCTACTAAATGTGAATATTTACAGATTTTGGTACAAAATGAGTGTTCTTACGGGAATGAGATTGTGTAATTGATAGGCTAATAAACGAATCATTAATAGGTCAAAAGTGTCTTTATGATGGAAAAAGTCTCTAAATTCTCGTGATATCTGAGGATCTAAAAATGTGGTGATTGAAAGTCCTGATTTACTTGAGGCAATACCAGTTCATACTTTTTGTCTAGATATAATAAATAGCACTCCCCTTTTCATTCTCTAGAGCCAGGATTGAATAATAAATTATGTGTTCACCCTACTTACAGCTGATATCCCTGCAACATGGGCCTTTGTTATGGTAGGTGGCTTTTATTAAGAATGAGAATATTCTGTCTCATGATGTAACTCTTCTAGTCAGAGAAAGATGCATAAGATGCATAAAACTCTTCTAATACATCTGATTGTGTATAAGGAGACAGGGTGCCCTATAAATTGATGGAAAGTTGAGATTTCTGTTTTCTTTGGTGGGGCGAGCTTATAAAAAAAGCACACTGTCAATAAGCAGTTATAAAAGACAAAGATGCTGCCAAAATGGATATGGTAGAAGTGTCTCTTGATTTAAAAAAAAAAAATAACTACAGTTTTAGAGTTCCATAATTGATCATAGTATATGAGTATATGCAAAAATTCTGCCCCCCAAATTTTCTGTGGTATAGGCAAGGGTGAAAAAATCACTCTTGTCTGTTTACTGGTTCAGAATTAACATAGCTAACTGGATAAAAATGAGGTACTCTTGAAATTAATTCAAGGCAATGTTTTATATAATGATGTCATAGCTCGTCTATTCACAATCCTAAACACAAACTAAGATTCTTCTTTTAAAAAAAAAATTATAGCTAGGTTTATTTTTGTTGTTTTGTTTGTGTTTGTTTATTTCCATCAGCAGTTATCTACCCTATCCCTGGTTCTTGTGACTAGGGAGAACTGAGGATATCCCTGGATGGGTTCTCCCTGCCTTTTGGGGGTTCATTTATTCAGATAGTGATATAGGGGCTGTGTACACTAACAGAGTAGGGCACTCCATGATGTAGGGAGGATGGGACAAAGAATGCTTAAAGTGAGCTCTGGGACCTCTAATAAAAATACTATGTAGTAGTAGGGGTCCAAAACAGGTTGGGAAAGTAAGGGATATAACCCTTACTTTGTTGGCTTTTTTCCCCCTCTCCACATACTAAGTTTCTAGTGTAAGCCATGTCTAGAAAACAGTGTCTTCTTTGATCATTATTTTCTTGGGAAACCTGTTTCTTCTTTTCCTTTTTTTTTTCCCCTGTGTATGCACACGCACACTCTGAAACCTGGGAAGATCCACATTTGAAATGTGTTGAAATGCTGTTGTACACAATTGATCTTTTAGTAAGTGGAAATGGACTGGTTTTTCATAGTTCTTTGGGCTATAGTATACAAAATAAGACCCATTTTGTTACTAGGCAAAAACTGGTATTTGAGAAAAAAAGCCCAAAAACAATTTACCTGGAATACAAGGAAAGAAAATTATTTTCCTCCTAACTTTAATGAAGCATTTTTTTCTTGGCAGAATGAAATTAACACTGAAAATATGGTCAGCTCCATAGATTCGGACAAACAAGATTCTCCTCCTCCAAAACCACCAAGGACCCGCAGGTATTGTAAATCACGCTTTCTTTGAAAGGATACTTTTTATTTTACTCACTGTTAATTAAAACAACAAATTCTGAATATATCTAAATTTTCTTTATAAACTTTATCATTCTTTTGTTTAGGATGTAGCATAAGTGGCAACTAATTTGTACTGGTGTACTACATAAATTTTGTTTAATTTTGATAAAAATTTCAGTAGTATACTGAGTAAGAACAGTGAGCATAACTATGAACTGATAATAGCTGATGTTTTGGTATGTTGGACAACTAAAATTTTAAATATTCTAAAGATTACAGTTTCTCTTAATGACTGTGCAGGTAGTATGATTGCCAAAAATTGTATGCAAATTGAAGAAGCTCTGTGAAGATGTTTCAAAACATTACTAACAAAGATTAGTTTATTACTCTAGATTTTTTTCTCATACTAATTTTTTTTTTTTAGTTTTATTTTTCAGTTACAGTTGGCATTCAGTATTATTTTATATGAGTTTCAGGTGTACAGCATAGTGGTTAGAGAATTATATAATATGCGAAGTGATCCCAAATCCGATTCTGGATAATTCTAGTGTCCATCTGGCACCATAGATAGTTTTTAAGATTTTATATACTTATTTATATTTAGAGAGAGAGAAAGGGAGGAAGGGTGGAGAGAAACATCAGTGTGTGGTTGCCTCTTGCATGCCCTGTACTGGAAATCTGGCCTACAACCCAGGCGTGTCCTGACTGGGAATCAAACCAGTGACCCTTTGGTTTGCAGGCCAGTATTCAGTCTTCTGAGCCACACCAGCCAGGGCTACATACATAGTTATTATTGTGCTCATTTATAATAGTTAAAATCAACATATATTGCTAGATTAGTTAGGTGTTAGTATGGAAAAGGTATAGAAAGTCAGAAAGATTTAGTTTCAAATCCTTTTGGCTCCTTGCTAGCTTTGAGGTCATGAGTAAGTCACTTAACTGATTTGATCCTTGGGGGTTTTCTGTTTAAGTATTGTCCTAAGGATTAAATGAAATAAAATATGTGAAGTTACAATCAGGTTATGGAATTATTTTTAAAAGGAAGCAAAGTCCGAGATCTGTAATAAAACTTTGAGAATGACTTTTACATAGTGTCTTATTTTGAGCACATATTTACCCAAACTGATTGACCTTTTCTCAGAGTAAGACTTCTTTAATATAGGACTCACCAATTTTTTCCTCTTATAACCTTGAAAGAAGTTGACTTATGTTGGATGAAGTGAATAGGGTTGGATCTTGGCATTTAGTCGCTGCGCCTTCACAAGACCATTCCTCTTTAAAAAAAGACTACAGCTATCCTCAACATCTAAGGCAAGATGTGGTAGTTACTATAGTCCCCAGATTGCCTTTCCAGTGCTTCTCTAAGGAAAATCAGAATGCCTATATAGGTGAGTTTAAGTCTCAGCATTTAAATGCTCAGGATGTTGACTGTACATTAATAAAACTTCCCAGTAGTTCTTGATTTTCCCTGTGCTATCTCCCAAAATTGGAATTTTAATTTCCTTTGGAAGATAGCCAGTTAAAACCTGTAAACTGTTCTCTAACTTCTTTGTCCCACATGTGAGTCCTAAAAGAAACTGTACTGGCTGTAAATTAAATTGAGAAGTATTTTGCTACTCTGATATCTTTTAATTTGTTTTTTGTGATTGAGCCAGTGTGGAGGTTTTCAAACTGTACACTGAAATTTGTGATTGATACGGTTTTGTACCTCCAACAACAAACAATGGTATAGACTCTTCCTAATTTTGAGGGAAAAACAGAAGTAGAATGTTCTGAATTTTAAGCTTTTCTTACATATCATTTTACAAGTTTGGGTCCTATTATTCCTTAATAACAAAAACATAATAAAGAAAAGTAGCAAATGTGTATTAACAGAAAAATCTTCATTTAGCTTGTGATAGGATTTTATTTGGGGATATGTGCCTAACTTTTTATGTATGTGACCTGTATTACATGTGTAGGTCTTTTTTAAAATTCAGGCAGTAGGGTCAAATGGCAGAATTCCATTGTGTTCCCTGGGACTAATAGGTTGAGATGAGTTTTAGAACTATTATAAATTGTGCATATACGAGTGCTATAAAAGTGTACTAAGCCTTGTTTAAACAAAATATAAAATAAGGAAGGATAAGGGAAAAAAACTTGTCAGTATAATTATCAAATTTGAGTAGCCACGAAGGACACAATGAAGAATTTGGAGATAATGGATATGTTTTTTACCTTGATTGTGGTGATAGTATCATGGGTGTCTGTGTCCAAATTCATTGAGTTATATACATTAAATATGTACAGTTCTTTTTGTATATCAACTATACCTCAATAAAGCTGTTTTTTAAAAATTTGAGTAATCAAGAATATATTTACTATGTACGTATCAACATCATGTGTAGACTACTGCTTCTAAAAGCATTTAAAAGATCATTGGTTAAATAATGCAGTTTGAACACTTAACTCTGATCCTTTTCTAAACTTCCTGAAATTACAGTGAGGAAATATAAAAATACATAAAAGTTAAAGAGAAAACAAAATTGGAGTAGTGGTGGCATCAAATGAGATGTTGACAAAATACTGAAAAGTGAAGAGCACGGTGACCAATGAGAAGGAGCCTAACAACAAAGAAAGATGAAACTTTCTTTGAAAAGAAAGAAAGGTGGGAAAACCAGTAAGAAGCAAAATGTTTCTCTTCAAAGAACCTTCCAGAAAGGCTCAGAAATTGGAGGTCCCACTTAAGCTGCTGTATAGGACAGTACTGAAAACAAGAAGAGTACTTGAATGTGTCTATAGAGAATTTAGAACCCCATATCCCTTTCATCAAATTGAGCAGACAGATAACTGCTTCTCCCATACCTTGGCACTCAATAGGAAGGATTTACTGTGAAGTGGTTGAACCAGGGAGTCTCTGGATTCAAGGACGTCAGGTCCAACTAATGGTGGAATTGTAGATAATGTCTTACTCAGAACAGGAATCTGTATACTGACTGATGAGATCCTCCAGCTCCCTTTCTCTTACCCTTTATTTCACTCCCAGAATACTGGTAGCCATTTCTGATGTTGATAGAATTCCCTTCTTAAAAAACTAACCAGCCCAAGAGAGGAAAGCTATCGTGATTGATGGTTGTGTCCATCAGTGATATTGCAAGGGCTATGTTCAGTTCCCATGCAGTAAGATAATTACTAAGCCACAAGCACTCTCCCTTAACACATATATATACACACATATTCCAGTCATTTTTAATTTTACCCTTTTTTTTCAAGGTGGCATTTAAGAGATTAATTTTTTTTTACATATATATACATTTTTTCAGTAAGTTTATATTCAACACCATTCTGCATTAGCCTCAGAGGCACAGCATAGTAGTCAGACCACCATGCACTTTACAAAGTGAACCAAACCAGGAATGATCAGACATTTGACAAAGCCCCGAACATGAAACACAACTTCAAATAAGCAGGAACAAAAAGGAACTTGGAGGAAATGGAAACAATACACAGTAAAAGAAAGCTGGGGGTGTGGGGGGAAGGGGACATACATCCATTTTTTTCATTCTTTAGGAAATACTGATACCATGAAATGAGAACTGGACAGTAAAAAATAAGCTATTGGAAATTAATTATAACAGCATAAATTTAAAAAATTAAAGGCTGGAAGATAAGGAAACAGCTCATGAGTATGAACAAATAGAGAGATAGAAAATTGGAGAGGGAAGAATCAAACCAGGAGGTCTGTTAAATAATAATAGTGGTAGTAGTCTGGAAGGAGACCAAAAGTAAAAAATTAGCAAAGAAGATTTCTAGTAACGAAACACACTAGTTTTAATATAGAAAGCTCCCAATATAATGGATTAAAAAAATGTAATACAGTGTATGTTATTTATATGAGGTTATAGAACATCAAGAATAAAAAAGAACCTGAAAGCTCCAAGAGAGAGAAAAAACAAGTTCACACTCCAAGGAACAGGAATCAGAATTACAAAATTCTGAAGGAAAATGATTTTTGTTTTCTAAAGATTTTATTTACTTGTAGACAGGGGAAGGGAGGGAGAAAAAGGGAGAGGAACATCGATGTGCGAGTGAAACGTTGATTGGCTGCCTCAAACACCCGTAACTGGAGACTGACCCCACCTGCAACCCGGGCAAGTGCCGTGACTGGGAATAGAACATGTGACCTTTTGGTTTGCAGGCCGGCATTCAGTCTGCTGAGCCACACCAGTGAGGGCAGGAAAATGATTTCTGATCTACAATTATATACCTTTCAAAAAAATCAGTACCATTGAAAACATAATACTTAAATATACAAAGCTTCAAGAAATTTGCCTCATATATAGTTCTTTTTTAAAAAAAGAAGTGTACTGATTTTAGGGAGAGAGAGAGAAACACCAATTGGTTGCCTCTCATATACTGCACAACTAGGGATTGACCCCGCAATCTCGGAATATGCCCTGACCAGGAATGTCGCTCCCAGCCTTTTGGTGTACTGCACGATGCTCCAACCAACTGAGCCACACTGATGGGGGACTACATATAGTTCTTGCGAAGTTACTAGAGGACATAACTTGCCAAAACAAGGGATTGTACCTAGAAAAAGGAAAATGGGGCCTGGGAAAAAGTCTGACACAGGAGAGGACACTAGAACAGAAGGCCCGAAGTTTCTAAGAGGGATGCTATGGTGTTGATGTTACCTGGTTTGCCTGACTAGTTAAGAGGAGGTGTACGAATCTGCAGGTAAGTAAGTAGAAGAGCTGAATTACTAATGCTACATATAGAACAGAGCCATCAGAAACACAAAGCAATTATTAAGGAAAAACAAGAACTTGTACAAGAAGAGATATAAAATCATGGTATCACTGGTATGAATAATAATTATAGTCATAAAATGGAACTAAACAAATTATTACAGTGTTGGGAAGATGAAGACACACAGTTGGAAGACAACAGAATATATGAAATAGATCAAGAAAACAGTTTATACATTTTGAAACATTTTGAGATAAGGAAAATCTTAGAAACAGCTATTAAAAAATGTTGAAAGTTGATGTCTGGGTAGTTGCTTAAGCAGCTGTGTGAGGGGCTTCTGTTTTGCATTAAAGTTCTTGGATTTTACTTTTTGAACAGTGTACATGCATTACCTTTTTAAACATTAAGTTTTTTTAGTTTGACAAATTATAGTTTTTGTTCATAACCACAGACTCTACATAATAGACAACTACGTAATTGTTACCCACTAACTTATTTTAAAAAGGATGAACATTCTTAAAATAGCCTTTTATTAATCTTGTTTTTCAGTTGCCTTGTGGAAGGGGATGCTAAGGAAGAAATATTGCAGCCACCGGAACCTCACCCTGTGCCACCCATTTTGACACCTTCTCCCCCGTCAGCTTTTCCAACAGTCACTACTGTGTGGCAGGACAATGACAGATACCATCCAAAGCCAGTGTTGCACATGGTTTCATCAGACCAACATTCGACAGACCTCAACAGAAATTATAATAAATCAGCAGAACTTCCAGGGAAAAATGAATCAACTATTGAACAGATAGATAAAAAATTAGAGCGAAATTTAAGTTTTGAAATTAAGAAGGTCCCTCTCCAAGAGGGACCAAAAAGTTTTGATGGGAACACACTCCTGAATAGGGGACATGCAATGAAAATTAAATCCGTTTCACCTAGGGATCCAAAAGTTGATGATAATTATCAGAATTCTTGTGTAGATTGCAGTGGATCACAGTCAAATCAACCTCCAGTTACTCCACCAGAAGAATCACAGAAGAATTCAGACACACCTCCAAGGCCAGACCGCTTGCCTCTTGATGAGAAGGGACATGTACTGTGGTCATTTCATGGACCTGAAAATACTGAACCCATGCCTGATTCATCTGAAGGAAAATCCTCAGATAACCACTGTCAAACAATGAAAACTGTGAGTTTAACACCAAGCCCCACAATACAAGTTGAAACCCATGATCTTGTGGATCATCATAGCAATTCACCTCTATTCAGAGCACCCCTCAGTTTTACTAATCCCCTTCACTCGGATGACTCAGACTCAGATGAAAGGAACTGTGATGATGCTTTGACCAAGAATAAAACTAGTATTTCAACAGCAAGTGCGACGGTTTCTGCTGCCACTAGTACTGAAAGCATTTCTACAAGGAAAGTATTGCCAATGTCCATTGCTAGACATGATATAGCAGGAACAATACATTCAGGTGCTGAAAAAGGTAATAATAGTATCTAATGCTTAAATATTTTTACCATGTGCCAGTCACTGTTTTAAGCTCTTTAGCTATATTAATTCATTAGGTTTTATTCCATACTTTACTCTAGAATAAAATTATCTAAATTTTATCTAAATCATTTTAGATAAAAATTTTAAGTAAATTTATATGTATTACCTTAATTTGATCATATTGCATTGCTGGGTTTTCTGTTTTCAAAATGTTTCAATTGTTGTAACTAAAAATTTCCTCCTCCTATATAGTATAGCTTTCAGCGTTTTGTATAGGTCAAAAGTTTGTCTGACTGGCCCTGACTGGTGTGACTTGGTGAGGTAAGCGCTGGCCTGTGAACTGAAAGGTCACTGGTTCAATTCCCAGTCAAGGCATATGCCTGGTTTGCAGGCCAGACCCCAGTTTTAGGAGCGTGCAAGTGGCAACGATAGATGTTTCTCTCACACATTGATGATTCTCTCCATCTCTTCCTCCTTTTCCCTCTCTCTAAAAAGATACATAAAGTCTTTTAAAAAAATTTTCTTTTTTATCTGACTGAATAATAGAAATAATTTAAGGACAATTGCTTAAAGCAACAGTGGCACAAATATGGTAAAATGGCTTGATTGGCCATTTAAGTCCACTAAAGATTATAAAAAACACTTACCTTTTTTATGTTCTTTTAACTACAGAAAGTTTTTCCTTTAAATTTTATTTGTAAGTGCTTGAAAAAGAGGCTGCTTTCAATCCTGGGTTTAACCAAGAAGTAATATTGCAGCTACTCAGCAGAAGTATGTGACTTTTAATCCAATCGGTAGTGAGTGGGCTATATCTGTATATAGTCATCACTGCTATTATTTAATTAAGCAGTCTTAGCATTTCAAGATAATGTGTGCACTCAGTTCCTAAGATGTATTATTGATACTTAAAAATCTGTGATCAGCTAAAATAATCATCGGCTGCCTTCCTCAACAGACCAAAAAGTTGACAGCAAATGATTTAGGATTAAACATGAAAGCTGTTTACTGATAGATTATCAGTGGCCATTGACTGTCAGTGAACTTTGCTAGTAACACATGCAGACTGTTATTTGTAATATGTAGTATGTATGTAAATACGTACTGTGAACTTGGAAGATGATTTTCTAATTCAATAAGTACCACTCATACTGTGGTGCCTTTTTTCCCCCCAACTCACATGTACTATATTTTTTGAGAACATATCTGATGAATGGACGAGAGTCTAAGCTAGTTTCCTAAGTTTATAGGATTTTCTATACTCGATTCTCCTGTGTTTTATTTGAAGGGTCTTCAAGAGATAATGGATACCACAATAAATACTACTTTTCTGGTTTGCCATAATTTAAAGTTGTTTATTTTTTTTTCAACCTCATAGTTTTAAAAATAACTATCAAATTGTAACTGCTCAAGAAACGTGTGGACAAGAAATTTTCATTTGGGGCTCCCCCACCCCCTTTTCAGGCATGAAGTCTTAGGCCCAGGAAATTTTTTCTTTTAATGATTACTAGAAATAGAATTGGGTGAGGGCAGGAAGGATGGATGATATTATATGCTCATTAAATATATTGCCTCATGCCCAGTCTTTTGGTGATAACAGAAAGAGTTAGCATAAAATACCACATACTGTACAGGGATAGTTGAAAGTACCCTACTATATATCAGCTCACTTCAGCTTTTTAAAATTTACTTGTATTTCAAAACAAAGGTAGCTGTAAATGTGATTTCTTTTTCTTTTCACCTTGTCCTGACTATGCTAAATTAGTTTGATATTAACTGAAGATTTTCCTGTGTAAGTGTTCTGTGCAGCAACATAACTACAAGCAGTTCTATTCTTAATGCTATCATTTATCTTTTGGATGAATCACTGGCTCAAGAGTAGTTGTGTTTTGGGGTTTTTCTTTCTTCTTTTTCTTTTTGCTTGTTTTGGAACTTGTTAGGGAGTTAAACAGAATACTCAAAAACAACCTTTGACATAGTTACTGCCTGACAGAAATTCCTGGCTATGAATTTTGATTTGAAAATTGGCTCTGGTGTACTCAAATTCTCAAACTTGGCTACACTAGACCCCCATACAATATATTATTCACAAAAGCCTATGTAAAATGTGGTGTCTTAGGTTGAATAACTTCTAAAACATGTTTATAACATGGAAAAGACAATCCAGAGAGATCGAGGGAGAAACATGCAGGTTAAAAGCATGGGCCATATTTTAAAATAAAAAAGGCTTTAAGAGAGAAGAGTTATAAAGTTTCTGAAGGATACTTGATTCTAAATATAAGCAAAAGAGGCTGCCCTTCCTGATTTGTTCACTTAATTATGAAATGGCACCACAATGCCAAGATTATGCATCCCTTCCTTCAAGAGCCGTCTCTTCATCACTGTGATCTATTAGAAACAAAAGGGCAAGGGGAAGGATGATGATGGCTCAGACGGTTACAAAATACTGGGCTGGAACTTTTCTGTCAGCAGGACACTTAACTCTGTTTTCTTGTCTATTCAGCTAAATAAATGTTAAACGGACAATAGCAATCATATCTGACTTGTGCTTCTTGAAAATGGTTTACTTGATATTCAGTCTCTTAGTAGATAGCCCATCAGATGCGGTAAAACATTAAAGTATCACGGCAAGATTTTAAAAAGAGCTGTCATGGCCAAGACAAAATAACAGAATCCTCACATTTCCCTTATCCTCCCTAACCTGAGAGTCCACACATGGGATTGTATCCTCATTGTTTTCTTTCTCTACCTTCCCAGTGAAACTTCAAAAGATCTAATTCACCCTACGACATAAGGCTGGTGAGGCCTAATGTATGGTGTTTTCTAAGAGCTAATTTTGTTTTTATTGAAAAACTTTCATATGGCTTCAGTTAGTATTCTCATAGTCATGTGCTGCTGTTCAGAAGATTTTAGTTAACATATGAATGGATATTCAAAAATTATTTTTATGTATAGTAGAAAAATAACTACAACTTCAAATCTGTTGTTTTAGTCATTACTGTTTTTAAAATTACAATTACATAGTTAAGTGAAAAATGAGGGGAATTTAAAAAGTAAAGGGGACAGATGGTATTAAGTGTGGCAAAACTCAGGCAGTCCAGTTGGGCAGTTGATTCCAGTTTGGGAAATACTGGCTTGCATCTAATGACAACGCTTTCCTTTGTGGACTCAAAGCATCATCAGCATGCCCAGCAAAGAAGTCACTTGCTGCTGGCTTTTCTGGAGACTGCCTCCAGACTCAGAGGGCAGTGTGATAATGTTTTCAGGGTGTTGGGAAAGTTAATAGGAGAGTCATTTTTCTCTCTGTGATGGATTTAATTCTTACTTGCTGAGTGGACCTTGTAATTCGTGACAAGTCAAGTGGTAAGGATTTCTTGTTTAATTTTTGCATTTAAAAAACCTTTCAGATACTTATGACAGTGAATTTCAGAACGTGAAGAAAGCTCTCAATTTGTTTAGATAAGGTCATTTTTAAATGAGTCAACATTTTTTAACAAGTTCATAATTTTTCTAAATTTTATGTATTTAATATAGATGTTGCTGTTAGTGAAGATTTACCTCCTCCTCTCCCTGAAAGAACTCCTGAATCTTTTGTATTAGCAAGTGAACATAGTGAGTATCTCTTCTGCTTTTACAAAATACTTCATACTCTAGTTTAAACTCTGAAAAACTTGGCTGATTTTAATGTAGTTGATATAAAACTGCATAAATAAATTAAAAACAGGTTTGAATTGATATTGACAAATGTTTTTAATCCTTTGTATGAAAAATACTTTCAAAATGGTATTTTTACTTGCTAAGATGGCTAAAATGACTGTATCTGTGTTAGATACTATAATGTAGTTAAGTGCAATTACAAATGTAGTTTCAATTTGATGTCTTTTGTGCCAGTTCAGATAAGTAAACATTTAAGTTGGGTTGTTAGGCGGTATTAATTGAAAGACACTTAAGGCCACAAGAGTATCAGTGAGAACTGGGAACAGTGATCATAATTCAAAGCCCTGATAATGTATTTCTCTTCTTCCCCTCTAGAAAAAGAGTACAGATATATTTAATATATTTACAGTGTCTCATACTCCATGGAGGTGATCACTACTCTTATTTGAATTACATTTCACCAATATTTTATTATTTTTAACTGATTTTAAGAATGTTGCCCTGACTGGTGGAGCTCAGTGGATTAAGTGCCCTCCTGTGTGAACCAAAAGCTCGCCAGTTCGACTCCCAGTCAGGGCACATACATTGGTTGTGGGCCAGGTCTCAGGTTAGGGGAGTGTGAGGGTCATCCCACTGATGTTTCGCTGTTTCTCTCCTTCTCTATTTCTTCCCTTTCCCTCTCTCGAGAAATAAATAAAAATCTTAAAAAAGAACTGTTAAAAACAGTGAAGCCATAATATATGAATAATACTAAACAAGTCTGTCAAATCTGTATAGTGGGTTTATAATCTGATGACTGGATTTTTTAAATTTTAAGAAAGGAAACTTAGAGGAATATTCTTAAATTGATAGAAACAAAATTTTTTATGAAAGTGAAAAATCTATAGAATGATTTTGAATATTATCTAATGAAATGTCAAGAAATAAAGATGTTAATTTTAATTGTAAGATTTCCTTTTTCTCAGGTACACCTGAATGGAGTGAACTTCAAAGTCAGGAAGACTCTGAACAAAAAAAATCTGAAGTGAGTCCTTTGGGATTGAAATAGCTAGAGCTCAAGTATTTTTGCTCTGTGGTTAATGTATCATGGTTGTTGTTTGTTAAATAACTGCTTGCTTAAGATTGTTAAATGTATTTTTTTTAATCAGCATTTCTTTCTAGTGCTATATTTCAGATGAAATGTGAGATCTGAATTTTTTAAAAGGGCATCCTAGCCTACATATGACTGTCATATACCTTCAGAGTGTTGTTTTACCAAGCTGCTTTTGAAATTTGTATATTAAGCTATGTCCCAAATCATTCTGGAGGTATGAATAAAACTGGAGTTACCGTTTTCAGGGTCATAGTACTTTGCTAAATTTTTTCCCTCCCGTTGTAATACGAGGTACATAGTACCTCCCTTTGGCTTTTTTCTGGTCACATGAGGTTTCCTTTCCCATTCAGGAAATGTGTTGGTAGCTAAGTATTTTAGCCATGGAAAATAATAATTTTTCATCAACACTTTTTTCATATTTCTCCCATATTTTAATATCCCTGAAATTGGGTACATATTACAGTTGATTAAAAACACTGATATACTTTGTCATAAAATAGTGATAATATATAATAATTATGGTATGTCTAATCCATGGTATCATACTTTGATAAATATAACTGGCAAAATGTAGAATGGTATATGTTTCTTTGTATAGTAGCTTCTGCATTTTCAGTTTTTATCCAGAAGGAAAAGGAATTTCCCTATCCTTTTACTCCCAATATAAAATACTGCACATTTGAAAATTTTAAATCTATTTGAAAACATCACTGTTTTGTTTTCCTTTGACACTGATTATCTTGATAAGTCTTGATTTCTTGGGATCTGTACTTAAAAGACAAAATATTTTATAGTTTTTCATAAAACTATTAAATGTCTTCCATATAGGGCTTGATAAAGTCTGGAAGTGAAAAATATGGTAAGTTAGATTTTGTTCCTTTTTGCTGTAGATTATATAAATTAATTATAAAATAGAATGTCTTATGGTATGTGCTATTTGGTTCTTTCTGTATGTGAAAATATGTAGGATACCTCTTCTAGAACTTGAATTATGTAGTGTAAGTCTTCCAAAATAATTACTATTCTGAAGATTATTATTGATCTTGAAAATAACAGCATTTATTATCAGTAGTTATAGACTGATAGGAAGGAAATTATTTTTTAAACATTTCTCTGTATTTTATCTTTTGTTGTTTATAAAAACACTTAGAATCTACGTCTGACAATGATTTGAATAGATGCCCCATATTAATCTAGGTGATTGAATTAGGTCCCTAAAAGTTGATTGTTTTGGAAATCTTTTAGGTGTTACTTGTTTTTTTAATTTAAAAATTTTAAAGTATATTTTATTGATGATGCTATTACAGTTGTCCCAGTATTTTTCCCTCTTTGCTCCCCTCTGCCCAGTAACCCCCTTCCCTACAGCATTCCCGCTCCCCCCTCCTTAGTTTATGTCCATGGGTGTGTGTTTAAGTTCTTTGGCTTCTCCATTTCCTATGGTGTTCTGAACCTTCCCCTGTCTATTTTGTTAGCTTCTTAATACCTGCACCATTTCCCCATTCTCCCCCTTCTCCCACCCAGCTGATAACCCTCCAAATGATCTCCATATCTATGACTCTGTTCCTGTTCTGTTTCTTTGTAGTTTTTTTGTTTTGTTTTGTTTTTAGACTCAGTTGTTGATAGTACTTTTTAAAAAGATTTTAATTTTTAGAGAGAGGTGAAGGCAGGGAGAAAGAGAGGGAGATGATTATCAATGGGTTGCCTCTCACATGCTCCAACTGGGGACGTGGCCCACAACCCAGGCATGTGCCCTGACTGGGAACCACACCTGTGGCCTTTCTGTTCACAGACCAGTGCTCAACCCACTGAGCCACACCAGCCAGGGCAAGACTTACACATTTATAAAGACCAATATGATTATGTAGTTCAACCAAGTGTCATAATGCCAAGTTAAAATTTTTCCCTACCACATTACTTATACTATCATGGTAATAAAATAGGTCAAGTTATTGTTAATTTTCCTCAATGATCATGTAAGCAGCTTATCAAAGGTCCTAGCCTGTGCGGTTCCCTCAATTCATCTATCATCTCTGTCTGTATCCTCCATTCTGCTTCAACTTCTCTCCGGATCTTTGATTAATAGGGCTCCATTTCAACTGTTACTCTCTATCTACTTTTTGGAGGCAACATATTGTAAGTAAAAGAGCAGAAACTTTAGAGTCAAGCCCACCTGAACTAGAATCCAGTTTTTGCCATTTTACTTATTATGTGGCTTTGCCCATGTTTATCTAATCTGTCTCAGCCTCAGTTTCCTTCTGTGTGAAATGGAGGTAATAGCACCTACTCTAAAGGATTGTTGTGAAGATTTAATTAAATCAAATCACATATATAGTGTCAGGTACTGTGCCTGGTATGTAATAGGTAGCAAAGCTATTCATCACTACCTTTTTTTTTTTTTTTTTTTAACCAGTACTGTTATGGCTGGCTCCCTGGATTTTTTATTTTCTAAATATATGTTAACTCCTTTCTGGCTTCTGTTCCTTCTCTGTCTAATCTAGATACCATCCTCCATCACTCTAGTCACACTCACAATTATCCTTGACTTTTCTTGTTCGTAATTCCCATAGCATTGTATTTTATGCCTTGGGTGTATTGAATACAGCTGGGAACATCACTCAGTTTTATAGACTGAGCCTGTAATTCTGGGCCTTCATCCACAGTTGGGCCCTCAGCTTTGGTTATATAAGATAACCAAACTACAGATAGTGACTGTAGTTGGCACCTGAATTATCCAAATCTTTACTTCTAAAGTCATCAATCCCACTAATTTACTCAGTAGATGACCTTTACTTCACTGAGAAAATTGAGGCCTTTAGACTAGATCATCTTTTCCACTTAGAAGCCAGCCCTGAATACCTAATCACCACAAGTTCCACTTAAATGACCCTCTTCTCTGTCCCTATTGCACCCTATGTATAATTTCATTATAAAGCTTTCCACAGTACTGTAATTAATGTACTTTTCTGGCTCTCATACTAGACCAGGGCTTGGCAAACTGTATTCAACAGGCCTAATCCTGCCCCTTGGCCTTTGTTCTTATTCTGCCCTTGATCTGAACAAATGATTTTTACATTTTTAAAGAGTTGTTTAAAAACCAAAGCAAAAAAACAGAAGTCAGTGAAGAATATGTGACAGGATGGTGTGTGGTTTGCAAAGCCTAAAATACTTATTCTGTAGTGTCTTACAGAAAAAGTTTGTTGACCTCTGTCTAGACTCTAAGCACCTAAGGACAAGGATTATAAAGTCAGAGATAATTGTGAGTGTGACTAGAACGATGGAGGACGATAACTAGATTGCATAAAGAAGGAAGAGAACCAGAAGGGAGTTAACATATTAAAATATAATTTGACTTGTACTCCAAGTTTCCAGAAAAGCTTATTACAGAGGTGTAGAGGTTGTGAAAGCATGAATGATTCATAGCAGTTAATTTCTTTTGTTAAGTAATCGTATATATTGTAATTATGTAAACTAAAATTCAAGCAGTGTAAAACTTTACAGTAAAGAAAAGATTATTACTTTTAGGGGAAAATACTAAGTCCATTATTTAACTATGAACTGGCTTGTCATTGATGTCCATATAAAGGCATTTCACTTGGAATTATTAGCACACAGTGTAATACTTTAAGGAAATATGCTGAGATCCAGGTTGAGATCCAGGCTGGGGTGTGGGGGTGTGGGGGTGTGTGTGTGTGTGTGTGTGTGTGTGTGTGTGTGTTAAAAAGATTTTTAAAAATTTCTTGAGAGAGAGATAGGAAGGGAGGGAGGTAGAGGGAGAAAAACGTCGTTATGGGAGAGACATATCGATCGGTTGCTTCTCACATGCCCCCAACCAGGGGCCTAGCCAGCAACTCAGGCATGTACACCGCCCAGAATCAAACTGGAGACTTCACTTTGTGGGACAATGCCCAACCCACTGAGCCACACCAGTCAGAGCAAGATCCAGGATTGGTAAGTAAGAGCATAAGGAGAATCTTCACATTGCAGAAGTACTCCAGATTTCTGGGTGCCCTCAGGAAAACCTTATGATAATATAGGTTTTATTATTTAATATAGGAAATGCTGTGCTCACTACCCTAGCATTTATATTTATCTGGGCCTCTAAAATCATGATACCCTGGAGAGAAAACTTGCTCGTTTAACTTACTGTCCACATTAAAACAATCAGAGAATTATACATAATGCTACAAATAATGGTAATTAACAATGCCTTTGTTTTGCATTTTATTTCATCTAACAGGAGCTATTCACCCAGAGACTTGTACAGAGTGTCCACCTACTTCCAGTAACAAGAAAGATCAAATACCAGAAAGTCCAACAAAAGCCACAGATATTGGTAATTTCAGAATCTGAATTAGTTAATGCTGGCGAGAATGAGAAAAGTTCATGTGCCATCATCATAGGATTTCCTTAAGACAAAGTTTATTAAACTTTGTTCTGCGATTTATTCAGTTTCTTAAATGAGGTATTTCTCAATTGAAAATTGGTTTGTGTTTATAGTTTTATTTAATTTGTTTAAATTCTGAATTCCCATATGGAAATGTATTTGTTCCAGAAAATAAGGATGTCTGACATGGTTTTAACAGTATTAAAATATTTCTGAACACTAACCAGTTACTGTGGTGTTTTGATTATAGGTTTTGGTAATCGCTGTGGAAAACCCAAAGGACCAAGAGATCCGCCTTCAGAATGGACATGATTCAGGGAGCCAAAAAACACTTTAAATTATACTGGAAAATTTAAGTGCCACCAAAAGCCAGATTAATAGTATTCCATCTTAAAAATGTGGGATTAACAGCAGTGTAGATTGTTATCTTAGCAATTTTTGCTGGGAGCATCTACCTGCCTTATACTACACTTAGGAAAAAGTATTACATATGGTTTCTTTTGTAACTTCAAGTATTATTGCCTTAATGTCTCTTAACCCTGTTACACGCTGCTTGTAAACATGTTAATATAGTAATACTTTTATGATAAATTGAGTTTAAGGACTACTCTTTTGCTAATGTTTTATCATGTATGCATTATTTTGTATATGTACAGGGCAAGTAGGTATATAATTTGATAAAGTTGGAGTCATAAAATATTATTAACAGAAGATGTAAGAAATTTCTGCATGGTCTAATCTTTGTGTACCTTATTTGTAAATTATTTGCCCTGAAGTTTTAGAAAATAGTTTCTGAATTTCAAAACTGCTGGATTCATGCAGCCAGCATTGCAGGTTATCAGAGATCAAAGATTGTAATAATAATACATTTTGTAAATTGTAAGCAAAAAGTTATTTTTATATTATATACTGTCTAATTGTCTATCCTAATTGTCCTTGTTTTCATCTAGTCATGGAGATTCAGTAAGTGCCTTGGAACAATATTGAATTCTCTTAGCTCGTGTGTGTTACTTTAATATTTGAACTCAACTGGGATTAGAAGACTATCAAAACATATGTATGTTTCAGGATATTTGACCAGCCATTAAAAAAACAAAACAACAATTTTACAGTGCTTACTTGTCTTGGTTTTTCATTCCGTATTCCTCGGAAATTAGACTTACTGTCTGCCTTCCTGCTGGCTTAGTCTTACCTTAAAGTCAAGAGTGTGAACAGGGTTTAATCTCTTAATGAAAAAAACCAGCAACTTCTGCAAACACATGGCTTTGTCATTGTAATACTAATCTTGATGCTAGCCCTTGAGTCACCCCTGGGTGCTACTGCCTTCTAAGGTACCAGTAAAAGACCAAACGGATGTGAGTTAGGAAAGAGGGAAACCAGTTTCTTTCCATCACTCTATTGGAGCACAGGTCCCATCTGTAAGAACCAAGTTAGAATTGTGACATCATGGATTAAAGTCAGTGGACATCTATCTTTGCCTTCTGCACACAAGAGGGGGAAGAAATTGAGATTAAATAGAGATAGAATAATTTCTATGAATAGAAGGAGGAAGGATCATCGTGGAAGAGGAAATAGAATTTTATGTCAAAATATTTTAAGGCCAAATGGTCTTCATGTTGATCCCTTAGAATTTCCAATTTTTCTCTTACATTTGGTCATAAGGAAATGTGAATACAATGGACCCTTGACATTTGCAAGAGATAGACACCTTTATAGCATATTCAGTTTCCTAATAAAATTTAAACTGAAGTATAACTGAAAAATACTTAGCTCCTTCACATACTTGATAATTTGTGTAATATGGTCCTAAAATCATTTGTAAAGATTTTTGGGGGAGAACAGTTTGCTTTTGGAAGGCCTTTATTGAAGTATAATGTATTCAGAAGGGTGCCAAAATTACGATGACATACACACACACCTCTGTGTGATCATCACCAAGGTCAGGCAATTGAACAAATGAGCCACTAAGAAGGTTGCCCCTTGGGCTTCTGAAATTTGTTGTTCTGTGTATAGCAATTGTTCTTTTTTCATTTCTATAGAGCTTTGCATTGTATGAATATATCACAGTTTGTCCATTCTGCTGTTAATAGACTTTTGGGTTTCTGGTTTGGGAATATTACAAATTATGCTTCTGTGAACATTTTTAGTGAACTATTTGATGCACTTAATATACATTGATCTGTTGGGTATATACCAAGGAGTGGATTTTTTGGATTAAAGTGGTTCTGATTGTTACCTATCCTAACTCTTGGTATTGCAATTGATTTTCGTTTTAGCCATCCAAATGGGTATACAGGTTCCAGGGTACTGGTGTGGACCTGAATTAGAATGGGGCTGAGGAATATGTATTTTAGACAAGAGCCATAGGTGATTCTGTTGCATACTGAAATTGGATGACCAGGCCCACAGGATCAAGTCTGAAGTTAGATCATACAATACCACCACTCCAAAGATCTGTCTGCTGCTGACTTCTATCCTTTTTTCCATTTACACCTGTGTTCCAGCCATAATGAACTACTTAAAAGTTTCTGCAGGCCCTGACCTCACACTATATCCTCTATCTTAAATACTCTTTTTCTCCTTCGGGAGAGCCAGGCACATCTATCAAGACTTAAATCAAATGTTATTTCTTCTATTAAACCCTTGAGCTTGTCCTGTTTCCTACCAAGTCAGTCAACTAATCTCTCTTTGTGTCTATACTGTACCCTTTTAATTTATCAGTGCACTTGAAATTCCTGTTATATACTTGCTCCTTTGAAAAGAAGTGAACATGATCTTTAGTGAAAATATTAGCATATATATGTATACTTTAAAAGCAGCTAAATGTGTAAAGTAGAACTAATTATAAGTATTTTCTTAAATATGGCCCTGACACAGTAGAAAGTAAATGTCAGCTGAATCCAAAACTACAGTACATGTTAAGGTAGCTAAGTCCGTACTTGGTTTTGACTTACATTTCTAACCACCCTTCTATTTAAGTGTTTGTACTTTAAAACATAATACCTCTTGACATGATTTAAGGTACCCACATAAATACACTCAAGGAGTAAAGCTTAACAGTAGGTTGTTTTACTTATCTCTGCTCCTGGAGCCAGATCATAGCACAGAATAGTCAAAAACATCCAATAACTGATACTTTGCCAAGAACATATCTGCAGTTTCCAAACAATACTTGGTTCTGTTCTTAAGACATCTGTACATATGTATTAACTTTTTCATAATTAAACTAAAAGAGACCATTCTGTGCTAAATGTGAGGAGGAACAATAAAACTGCAATTTGCGATCTGAAGCTTTTTCAAGAGAAAGTGGAGAATGACGTCTTATATATTTAGTCTTAAAATGTATTCTAATGTTGAATTACATATTTGGTATTCTGGATAGCAATCCATGAAATTACTCTAGGTTAATCCTAAAGACAGGATTAAATTGAATTAAATCATTATGCTAGTTTTGGGAAAGTTTTTGATGCTTTTTTATTATACATATACCTCCTAATTATACTTGCTTTTAGTGATGTTATTTTAAATACCAAAAATTCAGATTCTATTAATAGCTTTTTAAATTATTCTCCAATTATGGGTCTTTGTTACACAGCTATTAAAAGCTAGAAGCTCATATTTTCACTCTGGCAGACAGAATAGCAAAAGCTTTAACCTAGACTTTGGCACACACCCACTCACATTTTATGTGAGAACTCTTAACAGATTTGCTATAATGTGTTTCCTCTGCTATTTGTCTTTAAGGGGCACAAATCTTCTAAGATAAATGACCAATATTTAGATCGTAAACAATTTAATGAGTGAAAAGCAAAACTCAAGATGTGTCTCTGTGTTCTGAACTATAACAAATCTGGGCTTTGTTGAATTTGTGGGGGAAGAGAATTCCAAAGATTCCAGTCATTTTACATTTTTTAGAGATAACATGGCATATGTGTTGTTATGATCTAATACAGTAAGATTGGTGACTTGAGAACTCTTCCCAATATTTCAGCAACGACATATTCTTTACCTACTAGTAGAGTTATTCCCAAATAGCCAAATATTAAAAAGTTCTCTTTTTTAAATCAGTATTTAAATTTTCCATAGTATTTTGTTTTGCAATGAGAACTTTAGAGATCCATTTTCAGCAACTTTTAAATATGCAATCCAGTATTACTAATTATATTCACCATGCTTTACATCCCCACGACTTATTTTACAACGGGAAGATTGTACTTTTTGACCCCTTTCACTCGTTTTGCTGAGTCCTGCCCCAAATATTCTGTTTTTCTCAAAAATCCTTCAGTAGCCTTAGTTAGGTAGCTCAGTTGGTTAGAGCATCGTCCTGGTAACATCAACAGCAGGTTTGCTCCTTGGTCAGGCACATGGAAGAAGTAACCAATGAATGCACAACTAAGTGGAACAACAAATAGACACCTCTCTCTAATCAGTGAGTAAAAATTTTAAAATACATATTTTTCAGTAGCCCTGACAGGTGTGGCTTGGTTGGAGCATTGTCCTGTAACCAAGGTTGAGGGTTGGATTCCCAGTCAGGGCACATACGTAGGTTGTGGGTTTGATCCCAGGTCCAGGTGCATATGGGAGGCAACCAATCAATGCTTCTCTCTGGCATCGATGTTTCTCTTCCTTTTCTCTAAAAGCAATGAAAAAATGTCCCGGGCAAGGATAATAAATAATTATTTAAAAAAATTCTTCAGTAGGATTATATTTAATGTGTACATAAATATACAGTTTTATCTATATACCTGGGTATTTAAATTATGCCTTATAAATTTTAGCTTTACTTATATAGTTAACTTAAATATAAAAATCTTAAGAAGTTAGCATTTCTCATTGTATTTAAAGTAGGTACACAATAACATTTCCATGCAACTTCTATGCAAAAATTTAAAACACCAAGCTAAGGATAGATACTACATCATGTCTTATAATTTGAAAGATGCAGAGATTTAGTTGAAATTAACATTAGAAAAGCATTTTTAGGCCCTGGCCAGATAGTTCAGTTGGTTAGAGCATCATCCTGATATACCAAGGTTGCATGTTCAATCCTGGTCAGGGCACATAATCAACCAGTGAATACATAAATAAGTGGAACAGCAAATTAAAGTTTCTAAAGTTGCCTTTTCTCCCCCTTTTTCTAAAAAAATCAATACATAAAAACTTTTAAAAAATGTTCTATATATGCATTTTGCTAGGAAAGGTGAAATGCAGCCAGCCTACAGGGAATTATCTAGTTCCATTCAGAATAACAAAGTTGTCTTAGCATCTTCTCAAACTAAAGTGAGTTGTCCATTCTAATGTTATTCTGTTAATATCAGTTTCCTTGTAACAGGAATAAATTGAAATTTATACATAGAAATTTTACATTTAGACTTTACCTTCACTTGAATTCATTTGAACATAGGAGCAAATATTTTTGAAAGTTGGATTCTTTAAGGATTGCCAATAATGATAGCTTTTATTTCTGTAGCTGCACCAGCTGGAACATCACTGAACTCTTCCCCATTCTACCAGAAGAGGGTAGTAGAGCAAGTGGAAATGTATAGGTCAAAAAAATTCAAGGAAGGTACTCATGAAAATTTAAAAAACGCAATAGCCCAGAAGCTTTTTTGGATGGCTTCACTGTGTGAAAATGTTTCTGAAAGCCCTAATGTCAAGTGCCTTGCTTTGCAAGAGGCATGAGTAAATCAGATCTGAAGGCTTTGATGTATCTTCATGCAGACTCAGGCCTTTTTAATAAGAATTATTAACCTTGCTGAATGTTTGCCATGTGCCAGGCACTGCTGATCTCTGAACACTTCAACTTCATGAAAACCTTGCCAGGTATATATATTCCTGTTTAATGGATGAACCTGAGGAATACAGACTTTAGGTAATTTAAAGTCACACGAAGGAGCAAAGCCAGAATTCATACCTAGCTCCTATTCCAAAACCCTTGCTTTTAACTACTGACCCTACTATATGCCTCTAGGTTTCAGGGAAGCTAGGTGTGTAGGCTTTAGCAGGCAAGAAACATGCATGCTAGGTAACTGACCAGGGGCTACTTTAGTTAAATGCCACCCAAAGGCTTTAAAATACACAGCTTGAACACATGAAGGCCATC